AGAAATCAATAATATAAAGATATCTGGAAAATCCCCCAATAATTGAAAATTAGAAACACACTTCTTATTAATCCATGGGAAAAATAAATAAATAAGGAAAATTAGAAAATATTTCAAATTATATGATAATTTGCAGGATGTAGTTAAAGCAGTGCATAGAGAGAAATTTAAAACCTTTTGTGCTAATATTAGAAAAGAAGAAAGGGCTAACATCAATGATATGTTTCTAAAGTATAAAAAATAAGGGCAGGGCTTCCCTGGTGGCGCAGTGGTTGAGAGTCCGCCTGCCGATGCAGGGAACACGGGTTCGTGCCCCGGTCTGGGAAGATCCCACATGCCGCGGAGTGGCTGGGCCTGTGAGCCATGGCCGTTGAGCCTGCGCGTCCAGAGCCTGTGCTCTGCAACGGGAGAGGCCACAACAGTGAGAGGCCCGCGTACCGCCAAAAAAAAAAAAAAATAAGGGCAAAATAAGTCAAAAGAAAGTGAAAGAAGTGGTTTCACTGGTGAATTCTATCAGACATTTAAGGAAAAAATAACACTAATCTCATACAAACTCATCCAGAAAATATTGGGAGTAGGCAAAACTTCCATCTTGTTTTACAAGTCCAGGATTACCATGATACCAAAACCTGACAAAAGAAAAGAAAATTACAGGACAACATTACTCATAAGCATAGGTAGAAATATCCTTATCCAATTTAGCAAATTGAACCCACCTTATATAAAAAAGATAATACTGTATGTCCTAAATTGGGTTTATCCCAAGAATGCAAGGTTGGATTAACAGTAGAAAATTGATCAGTTTATCATATCAAAAAAATAAATAAGAAAAATTATTTACAATAAATTCAAAAGACACTTCTGATAAAAATCCAACACCAATTCATGTTAATGTCCCTCAATACATTAGAAATATGAGAATTTCCTCAATCTGATAAAATGTACATATGAAAAATCGACAGCTAGCCTCATACTTAATGGTAGAAGACCTAGTGTTTTCTTCCTAAGATTGGGAACAAAGTGAGTATCTCCATTCTCAACCCTTCTATTCAACATTTTCCTGGTAATCCTAGTCAGTGCAATAAAGTAAGTGAAAAATGAAAGCATACACTTCAGAAAGGAAGAAGTAAAACTCATTCATATATGACATGATTATGCAGAAAATCTAAAAGAATCTATAAAACAACTGTTTGAACTAATGAGGAAATTTAGCAAGATTGCAGGATACAAAATTAATATAAAAATTAATTTACTTTTATATATAATCAACAAGTGATTGGAAAAGTTCATGTAAAAAAAATCCATTTTAATAACTTCTAAAACCAAAATATTTAGGAATAACTTGACGTGAGGCATGTCATAGATACCTCTACAATGACAACTGCAAAACATTTCTGAAAGAAATTAAAGAAGATTGATGTCAGTGGAGAGATATATCACGTTCATGAATAAAAAAACAATATTAATTGGATGTCAGTTCTCTCTAAATTGATCTATAGAGTCAACAAAATCCCAATAAGAATCCCCCCCAGGTTTTTTTGGAGAAATTGAGAGCTGATTCTAACATTTCTATTGAAATTCAAAGGACCCAGAATATTTAGACTGCTCTTGAAAAAGAGCAAAGTTGGAGAATTTTCACTCCCTGACTTCAAACATACCAGATTTTGACACGTGATGGAAGCAAGTAAGTGGAAGCAGATGGCCTCACCTGAAATCCCCCCGGTGCAGGGAGGGCAGCATTCCAGGGGAGTAGGGATGAGATTCTGACTGTAGTGTCTGGTGCCTACCTCCAGCAGTGCTGACGCAGTCTGGGTACTGGGCCGCTCCTGTGCTGTGATTTTAGGCACGTAGCCTCTAAGTGGTGTGCATAATCCTCCTGATAACCCTGTGCCTTACCTGATAACCTGTGATACATTCAGTGTCTGCTTAAATGAGCAAAAGTTGTTTCTTTTAATAGCAACAGGGAACCCTGATTTCTACAAATGCTAGGAAGAAAAATAAAGAAGGATTAAGGGACAAAGGGTTATGGTGTCCCTTAATCCTTCTTTATTTTTCTTCCTAGCATTTGTAGCAATCAGGGTTCCCTGTTGCTATTAAAAGAAACAACTTTTGCTCATTTAAGCAGAAAATGAAGGGTGGGATTGGGAGGGTGGGAGGGAGACACAAGGGGGAGGGGATATGGGGATATATGTATGTATATGAATAGCTGATTCACTTTGTTATATGGCAGAAACTAACACACATTGTAAAGCAATTATACTGTAATAAAGATGTTAAAAAAAAAGGTTATGGGTCTGTGTTTTGATATGGGGTAAGAATGAACTCTGAGGAAGTGACATTTAAACAGAGACGATATTATTCCATTTTAGTTTGTAAAGAAAAAATGTTTCACATGTGTATATATGTCTACATGAACATATAAAAATATGAATAGGTGATTGTGGTAGGCTGATAATTGATCCCAAAGATATGTCCATATCCTAATCCCTGCAAGTTATAAATGTTACCTTATTTGAAAAAAAGGGTGATTAAGTTAAAGATCTTGAGATGAAGAGATCATTTTGGATTTTGGCTCAGTGAAATTGATGTTGAACTGCTGGCCTGCAGAACTGCAGCTTATTTTAAGCTCCAAATTTGTGGTTATTTGTTATAGCAGCCACAGAAGACGAATGAGATAATATTTTCGACCGTAACACTAAGGATCTGGAAGGAGGATGGGAAAGAGAGGTTAGATGTGAGAGGAAGATAGGAGTATGAATATGTGTACCACAAAATCTTATTGTAAATTAAAAGTAGATGGATGTGGGCTTTCCTGGTGGCGCAGTGGTTGAGAGTCCGTCTGCCGATGCAGGGGATGCGGGTTCGTGCCCCGGTCCAGGAGGATCCCACATGCCGCGGAGCGGCTGGGCCCGTGAGCCACGGCCGCTGAGCATGCGCGTCCGGAGCCTGTGCTCCGCAACGGGAGGGGCCACAGCAGTGAGAGGCCCGCATACCGCAAAAAAAAAAAAAAAAAAAAAAAAAGTAGATGGATGCAAAACAAGAACATGCATTTCATTAAAATATATAAAAACAAAAAATTTGTATTAAACATGCAAGAAGGATTGCTGATGGGGAGGGAATGGGAATGAGGATAGAGGGAAATACATGACAACAGAAATGAAAAATTCAGTTGAAGGATTGGAACATAAAGTTAAGGAAACTTCCAATAAGATGAAGCAAAGAGAGAAAGAGATGAAAAGTAGAAGAGAAAAAGAGTAATAAGTAAGAGGACCCAATAGTCTAGCGACCCAATAGCTACATAAAGAGCAATCCAGAAAGAGAGAAAAAAAGAGGGGGGTGTAGTCATCAAAGAAGTAATTCAAAAAAATTCTCCTCTATAACTTGATGTTAGACTGGAGCGAGAATGCAGAATAAAATAAGATTGGGGAAACAGGCAGAGATTAGATCATAAAGATTCTGGAGGCTGCTTCAAGGAAACTTTGCTAGAGCTAATCCTGTTTAGAATGGCTCTAAAACCTCTTCTAACCTGCCTGCTCACCCAGGAATTTTTACATAATCTTCAAGACCCACTGTAACATCACTTCCTCAGGAAGCCAGCCTGGACTTATTTAGCCAAAGTAAACAGTTCTTCCAATATGTTTCTCTTATAGAACTCATTGCATTATAATAAATTGTTAATCAGTGTCTGTTTTATCTGCTAGAAGGAGGTATGTATGCTTAGGGGCAGAGGCTGGATGGGGTTATCTTTGAACTTGCAATGCTTGGCACTAGGTAGTAACTCAATGGTCTTGAGTTACTTTATTTCACCTTGGCCCCAAATTAAGAATTTCCCAGTCTTCAAACATTAACCCTTCCCAAATAGTAAATAAGTTGAAGATAAGTGAAGCCTCTTATTTTTTTGTGCCAGAAAATTGTGAGGGTGAGAGTAACATAGCAGCCGTCATGTTCGAGTGCCAAGCCCTTCACATAGTTTATCACCAGTGCTCACAGCCATCTTACAAGATAGGCATTATAATCCCAGTCACACAGATGGAGAAACTGACCTGTGGTCCAAAGTCACATACAGCTAGTACAGTCATCCCTTGGTATCAGAGGGTATCGGTTCCCCAGTGCATATGCTCAAGTCCCTTATACAAAATGGCATAGAATTTGCATATATCTTACAGCACACCCTTCCATTTGCTTTAAATCATTTCTAGATTACTTATAATACCCAATACAGTGTAAACGATGTATAAATAGTTGTAAACAGAATTTAAATGATATGTAAATCGTTGCTACTGCTTGGCAAATTCAAATTTTGTTTTTTGGAAATTTCCAAAAAAATTAAAAAATATATTTTCAGTCCCCTCCCTCCTTGGTTGAATTCGAGAAATGCAGAAGCAGGATACAGAGGGCCGACTAGTGCCTTGAACTGAACCTCAAGCCTCTGCCTCAGGGGGGATACTCCCAGCCACTCCGCCATGCGTCTTCAGCATTCCCGCAAATATTTTTCTAATCCGGGTACTTCACATCAGTTAATTCATTGCCATGTTACTAATGTCTGGCTTCAGTGATTACAAACACCACATCGTTTACCCACTACGAAAAATAACACACTTTAAATAAAAAATCTGGGCTGCTCTTGCCTTCTGAGACGGACTGCATTCTGCCTATGGAATGTGTATCTCTCTAAATAAACTTGCTTTCACTTAAAAAAAAAAGGGGGTCGTTATGAACCTAATTTTCTAATTCACATTTGTGTTTTTAAGTTTAGGTGTTCCCTATCTTTTCTGTGTCTACCTAGCTTCCTTTCTTACTCTTAGTATTCCTAAATTTTACTCATTTTAAGGTAGGGGGTTCAACTATATGAAATATAGACTCATCCTTTTTTTTTTTTTTTTTTTCCTCTCATACAGAGAGAAAAAGTACAGCACATCCTAAGTGGTGGACATAAACAGCCTATGCCTTAAAAAAAAATTCCTTGCTCCGCCCTCCGCCCGCCCTCGCCCCCCCTCCCGGAGCTCCTCCCTATACTCTAGGGCCGCGTGGAACTCCCGGGGGCGCTTCCCGTAGGGAATCTGGGATGCCTGGGCCCGGCTGAGCAATCGCCGCCCGCCTTTCCGCTCGTTCAAGGTCGAGTCCGAGGGTGCGGGCTTGGACCCGGGAGCTGCGGCGCAGGAGTCCGCGCACTGCCCATGGACTCGTCGGGGGACCCCGAAGGCCCACGCCCCCCAGGAGGTTACAGAGAGCAGCGAGGCCGGATGTACCTCTGTGGCTTGGGTCGTGTCTCTTTAACAGCAATTCAATTAGCTTTAGCGTGCTTTGTTTGCGAGAGATTCGAAAAGGAGGGGCCTGGCAGTGGGGCTCGGGTCAGCGTGTTTTTTCTCTCTGGAAAGGGTTAAAGTTTGCGCACTGGGGTGGTGCGGATGTGGCCTCTATTGACTTTCTCTCTGTAGCTCTACTTTTAAGTACTATGTGTTTAAGAATGCATTCAAATAAGTGTGCCTGTTAGACAAACGAAAACGAGCCCCACTGTTGTCCCTCTCGCCCCTTTAACTTTCTCTCAGTTCCCTTCCTCATCCACTACCAAAATTTTTAAGTCTTAAGACTTCCTCCTGTTGCACAGATTTCTTTTTCTAGACAACAATGGCAACCTCTGAAAAAATAGAGCAATTCAAATATACTTTTCTTACTTAAATTTCTTTTATCTCAAAACCATTTAATTTAAAAATAGCAAATAGATTTACTGGATGTTTGGAACTGAGTAAATGACCTCGTGTCTTTAAATTAAATGGAAATTTAGCCCTGGGAATAAGTATTAAATTAATTGATGCAGAAGACCTGTAATTATTGTAAAACACTGATTTACAGATTCATGGCACTTGTCTTTCCAGGAGCTGCCATTGTAAGTATTAATTCTCCAGTTGAATGATTTAGCTTATTTTCTCCTACTTACACTTCACTTGACTTCAATAGTGCCCTCTTAATAAACCGCTAACATGACATGCTTAAAATGTGATTGAGTCCATGTAGCATATGAAGCTAGTAACTTGAGAAAGCACGCTATACTTCAGAGAACAGTACTCTGGAGAGCACCCTGTGGCCTCATCCTTCTTGAAGGAATCTATTAAAGGTGAAAGAAATAGACCTTATGGTGAAGGCAAAACAAAGCAGATGGTTTGATAAATTGTGCACTGAAATCCTAATAGGGAATAGTATGTAAATGAAAGTGATATATTTTGAAAATTGCAGTGATATACAGGGATTGTGTTACATTTGATCAAATGTGCTGTATTCAAAATAGCCCTTAGCTCAGCAAATGTTATCTTGAGTGCATTTCTGTGCACAGAAGTGACATTTCTGTACTTTGATCAGTAGCCCCAATTACATGTCTGTAATTACAGCATGTTTGCCTTCAAGGTGATGGCCCTCCAGGAGGTGCAAGGGAGACATCCAGGCAGCTTTCAAGAGAACAGATTTTTGTACTGATATCAGCAGCTTCCATTAACTTAGGTTCCATGATGTGCTATTCTATCCTTGGACCTTTTTTCCCCAAAGAGGTAAGACATTTTTATATCCTTATGAACTATTAGTGCTTTTAAAAAGCCTTTGAAATATTTCATTTGGGGGATGTAAAAATCTGCATATGGCAAAGACGATGTATAGAACTTCAGCCAACAGAAGACTTAGAGAATATTTGATACCAAAAAAAAAAAATTCAGTAAAAATAACATCATCTTGGGAAGTAATTCACCTAAGTATAATTGACCTTCTGAGGATTACTTTGCTTACCATGTAGTCTGATTCATGTGTTTGGTTTCTGCAACTGAAAAAAAAAAAAAAAGGAAGTGCACTGAATAACTGAGATTTTAACGTTATTGCAAAAGATCTACGTGAAGACAGTGTTTCCTGGAGTTTGGGTTTATTAATATTTTGGAATTAGGAAGGCATGGTCCACTAAATGCCCTTTTCTGACTTGAATTTCATATGGAATGTAGTGGCAGTGTTTGTGCCAAGGAGGAATTCTGATTAGTATTGATGAGGTCCTTCTAATCATAGTGTTTTATGTGGTGTTAGGGTCTATGGATAATGGCACAGACTCGAAGGAATAACCCCTAGAGAATCCACCTGGAATCTGGAGGTTGGTGAGGTATAGTATGGAAGGAATGGTACTGACTTGGCTGAGTGGAGATAACCTGCCCATGTGTTTTGCTTCATGCTCTTTGCCAAAGCCTCATGATGCACGGTCCCCTCCCAGTCCTCTGACTTCTTTGATAACATGTGGTCCTTCCTTCTGTGTGCTACAAAAGACGAGAAACATGGCTTCTCTGCTAAAGGAGCAGTACAGCTCTGTAGCCATAAGTGCTTTTTAGTTTTCAGTGTACTTTCCCACACATTATCCCATTTGGTTTCCATAGCAACTCCATAAGATAGGCAGAATAGCCAGAATCTCATAATGTTGCAAATGAAGAAACAGATTCCGAAGTTAAGTGACTGGCCCAGTTCAATTCCGTTTACTGAACGGGAATGGGAGGTTTAACGACTTCCCACCCTAGAGTGTGCTAGGCGTTGGATGTGTTAGGGCTGGAAAAAAGATGAGGAAAATGTCCCTCTCTCGTCTGTCCATTGGGAGTGAAAAAGTATGACAACAAAAAGTTGCAGAGGGGCTTTCCTGGTGGCGCAGTGGTTGAGAGTCCGCCTGCTGATGCAGGGGACACGGGTTCGTGCCCTGGTCCGGGAGGATCCCACGTGCTGCGGGGCGGCTGGGCCGGTGAGCCATGACCGCTGAGCCTGCGCGTCCGGAGCCTGTGCTCCGCAACGGGAGAGGCCACAACAGTGAGAGGCCCGCATACCGCAAAAAAAAAAAAAAAGTTGCAGAGTATTTGGATCTCCTTGAAGAGGATGTCCAAAATGTTAGGAGACTCTAGGGAAGGGAATGGTTAATTTTGCCACGGGAGAGGCTGGCTGGTGTGGAAGGGAGGGAGAGAAGGAGTAATACTGAAAGGGGCTTGGCGGAATAACCCTAAGATGAGTCAAAGAGGTGTTCTAGGTTAGAAACCCGCAGGGGATAGTCACGAGATTAGCAAAGTAAATAGCGTGTTCTTAGGGAAGCACGGACGAAGGTGGGGCTTAGGCCTGGGGTTCAGTTAGGTCCGATGGGAGCAGAGGATCTGAGAAGGCAGGTTGGTGCTCGAATGCAAGGGTCCTTCCATGCAGGCCAAAGATGTAGTCAGTAAGAAGTCATCAGAGGTGCTTGGGCAAGACTGAGTAGATATCGGTTTTGGAAAAAAATAGTGATGGATGGAGCCTGTAGAATTACGATGGAGAAGAACGGGAGTAAGTGGGCCATCAAGTTAGAAGGGTATTTCCCTGTTCAGCTGGAACTCAGCAAGGGCACCTAGTGTTAGATTCCTCTTAGTGGAGTACAGACAAAGGAAAAGGAGGCAGTTGCTGTGTGCCTTTTTTGTTTTTTCTTTCTCAAAGTTTTTGATTTAGTTTATTGCGTCCAAGAGGCAGGGGAGAGAGCGTTCTAACTTTAATAGGTGTAGATTTGAAGAGTGGGCTCTTTTTCGTTTTTAATAACAGCCTTAGGGTTGACAAATGCACTGTCAAAACTTGCTCTTTCTCCTTCGTATTCTGTTAACCTTCCTATTAGCTAGAGCCAACTAGGTCAAGGGAGAGCAAGGCCCTTCTTCTTCTTTTTTTTTTTTTTTTGCGGTACGCGGGCCTCTCACTGTTGTGGCCTCACCCGTTGCGGAGCACAGGCTCCGGACGCGCAGGCTCAGCGGCCATGGCTCACGGGCCCAGCCGCTCTGCGGCATGTGGGATCTTCCCGGACCGGGGCACGAACCCATGTCCCCTGCATCGGCAGGCGGACTCTCAACCACTGCGCCACCAGGGAAGCCCAAGGCCCTTCTTCTTAATTTCTGGCACAGGATTCTTATTTCTACTCATCCTTTTTGTGGCCCCCTCCTTCTTTGGCAGAGGATTATAAGTGAACTAGAAGTTGCTTTTAATAGCTGTTCTTGCTGTCCTAATGTGAAGCAGGATCCGCATGCCAAAAGTGGTATTCAGTTACTGCTGTGGTATGTGATTCTAGGACATCCTAAGTCACCATCCTGCTTCCACAGAGAATGTGGGAACCCGTGCAAGATGGAAGCTGACATGACTGCTGGGACCATGACACAAGTAACTTTTGCAAGTCTGTGTTCTCATCTGTAAAATGGGGCCAGCTAAAAATACATCCCTTATTTAATTGTTGTTAGAAACCATATAGAACAGCGTGGCTCATAGTGAGGGTTCAATAAATGTTAGTTGCTGTGACTATTATATATTTTCTGCCAGACTCTAGAATTAAATACCTTTCAGAGCTATTAAGCAAAGAACATGGATGTGACTTGACCAATGAATGTTCTTTGTACATCTTAATTCACCCCTTTGTTGTTACCTTCCCTTCAAGGTACCTGTTTTATGTTACTAGGGCTGTTGTAACAAAGTACCACAGACTGGGGACAACAGAAATTTATGGTCTCACAGCTCTGGTGGCTAGAAGTCCAAAATCAAGGTGTCATTGGCAAGGCTGGTTCCTTCTGAGGGCCGTGAGGGGAAGATCTGTCCCAGACCTCTCTCTCTGGCTTGTAGATGGCCAACTTCTCCGTGTGTCCTTTCATACCATCTTCCCTCTACACGTGTCTCTGTGAAGAAATTTCCCCTTTTTACAAAGATATGAGTAATATTGGATTAGACTCCACCCTTAACGACCTCATTTAAACTGATTACCCCTGCAAAAACTATATCTCCAAATAAGGTTACGTTCTGAGGTACTGAGAGTTAGGACATCAACATAAGAAGTTTGAGGGACACAATGAACCCCGTAACACCACCTGACCTTTGTGTAGTAGAAATGTGGACTCTGTGTTCCTGTCTACACACAGTGTAACCTTTTGCTAGGATACCAATGAAGGCATCGTTCATAGTGAGATCTCTCTTTTCTCCACACCATTATCTCGTGTGATGATTAGTAATGGAAGGGGAATGGCTAATCCTGAGTCTCATAGAATTATGGGCTGAAATCCTGCCCAAGCAGTTTCTACAATGCTCTGGGTTCAACTTCTCCACTGTCTCCCACCACCAGGCACTTAGGGACCACACTTCAGGGGTAGGGGGTGCTTCCTAGAGTGAGGGGACCTTTCCTGCCTATAGTTTAGCCATGAAAAGTAGAGTTCACCTATCTGATTTCCTGTGGTATGCTGCTTTGAGAACTGTAGGGTTTATTTAGAGACATAATAACATAAGAAGAACATTTTCTTTAAAAGACAAGGTTTGAATGATGATCATAACTTCGTATGGGAAGCAATAAAGTAAATTTTTATCTTAAAATTGTAGTTAGGGAGAAAAGGTAAAGAAATAGAATTATGGCTGTTGTCGAGGACGGATTTTAAAGGGAGTGTGTGTATGCACATGCATTTCTGTATTCAGAGTAAAGTGATTTGTGGAAGAGCTGAAGCTCTGGCAGAAGGATGAATCTAAGTCGGATCTTCTGACCATAGCTATTCACTGCTGGCTCCTGGGTACCACGCGTGATGCATAGAAGGTGCTCGGTAAATGATTCCTGACTGCCTGAGAGGACAGATGTGTGTTTCAGGCTTAGTGCTTCATGGTATGCCAAGTAGCCAATCTTATCTTTAAGAAATTAAACTCATATTTTAACCCCTTACATGGTTATAGCTAGAACCTGATCTAAGGATCTACCATAGTTCCAGGGTTTTAAAAAGGTTTTCAAACCTTTTGTCTATTCATTTGTACATCACAACTAATAGTAGCATTTGAAGTTCAAAAGAAGTAGATTTAGAATAAATACTATATCATCTGTAGCAAATTTAGGAGCTCACTGATAGAATAGGCTACAAATATTAATAGGGATCATTGATGGGCAATAAACTACTCCAAATGTTTCAGGAGAACAGAGAGAATGTCGGGAGCTGGGGGAGCTTCTTTCATCTGTGTTATTGATGTCAGGAAAGGAAACTTCATCTTCTCTGAACTGTCAGGTGGTTGAGAGTGGGTGTTAGAAACAGAACCACACTGAACAGTCTTTGGGATGACTCATGTGCCAGCTTAAGGAGCTTCCTGTTCTTGAGTTTTTTTGACCAGCAAAGTGATTTTTTAATTTATTTGCACTCAAACCTTCCTCCTGTGTGTTTCTCCTTTTTTAAAAAAATTTAATTTTATTTATTTATTATACAGCAGGTTCTTATTAGTTATCTATTTTATACATATTAGTGTATATATGTCAATCCCAATCTCACAGTTCATGCCCCCATCCACTTTCCCCCCTTGGTGTCCATACGTTTGTTCTCTACATCTGTGTCTCTATTTCTGCCTTGCAAACTGGTTCATCTGTACCATTTTTCTAGATTCCACATATATGCATTAATATACGATATTTGTTTTTCTCTTTCTGACTTACTTCTCTCTGTATGACAGTCTCTAGGTCCATCCACATCTCTACAAATGAGCTGATTTCATCCCATTTTATGGCTTTATATATTCATCTGTCAGTGGGCATTTAGGTTGCTTTCATGACCTGGCTATTGTAAATACTGCTGCAATGAACATTGGGGTGCATGTGTGTTTTTGAACTATCGTTTTTTCTGGGTATATGCCCAGTAGTGGGATTGCTGGATCATATGATAATTCTGTTTTAGTTAAGGAACCTCCATACTGTTCTCCATAGTGGCTGAATCAATTTACATTTCCACCAACAGTGCAAGAGGGTTCCCTTTTCTCCACACCCTCTCCAGCATTTGTTGTTTGTAGATTTTCTAATGATGCCCATTCTAACTGGTGTGAGGTGATACCTCATTGTAGTTTTGATTTGCATTTTCTCTAATAATTAGTGATGTTGAGCAGCTTTTCATGTGCTTCTTGGCCATCAGTATGTCTTCTTTGGAAAAATGTCTATTTAGGTCTTCTGCCCATTTTTTTTTTTTAGAAGATGTTGGGGGTAGGAGTTTATTAATTTATTTATTTTTGCTGTGTTGGGTCTTCGTTTCTACGTGAGGGCTTTCTCTAGTTGTGGCAAGCGGGGGCCACTCTTCATCGCGGTGCGCGGGCCTCTCACTATCGCGGCCTCTCTTGTTGCGGAGCACAGGCTCCAGACGCGCGGGCTCAGTAGTTGTGGCTCACGGGCCCAGTTGCTCCACGGCATGTGGGATCCTCCCAGACCAGGGCTCGAACCCGTGTCCCCTGCATTAGCAGGCAGATTCTCAACCACTGCGCCACCAGGGAAGCCCCAAGATACTTCATATAAATGGAATCATGTAGCGTTTGTTCTTCTATGACTGGCTTACTCCGCTTAGCATAATTTCCTCAAGGTTCATCCATGTTGTTGCAAATGCCAAAATTTCCTTCTTTTTGAGGCTGAATAATATTCCATTTTATGTGTATACCACATTTTCTTTATCTATTCATCAATCAATGGACATTTGTGTTGTTTCTATATCATCTTGGCTATTTCGAATAATACTGCAGTGAACGTGGGAGGTGCAGATATATCTGAGACCCTGCTTTCAATTCTTCTGGATATATACTCAGAAGAGGGATTGCTGAATTATATGGTAGTTCTATTTTTAATGTTTTCAGGATCCTCCATATTGTTTTCCATAGTGGCTGCACTATTCTGCATTCCCACCAACAGTGTATAAGGTTCCAATTTCTCCACATCCTCATCAACACTTGTTATCTTTTGTTTTTTTCAATAGTTGCCATCCTAACTGGTTCGAGATGATATCTCATTATGATTTTAATCTGCATTTCCCTGACGATTAGCGGTCTTGAGCAGCTTTTCATATATCTGGTGGCCATTTGTATCTCTTTTATAGAAATGTCTGTTCACGTTCTTTGCTCATTTTTAAATCAGGTTCTTTGTGGTGGTGTTTTGGACTATTGAGTTGTAGGAGATTCTTACATATTTTGGATATTAACCCCTTATATAGAGGTGGTTTACAAATACTTTCTTCCATTCTGTAGGTTGCCTTTTCAGTCTGTTGATTGTTTCCTTTGCTGTGAAGATTTTTAGTTTGATGTAGTTCCATTTGTCTGATTTGTTTTGTTGCCTAAGATTTTGGTGTCAAATCCAAGAAATCATTGCCAAGATCGATGTCAAGAAGCCCTCACCCCCTGTTTTCTTCCAGAAGTGTAACAGTTTCAGATTATATGTTTAATTTGCTTTGAGATTATTTTGTGAGTGGTGTAAGATAGGAGTCCAATTTCATTCTTTTGCATGTGGGTATCCAGTTTTCCCAACACCATTTGTCGAAGAGAATATCTCTTCCCCATTGTGTGTCCTTGGCACACTTGTGGAAGATCAATTGACCATATTTATGTGGGTTTATTTCTGAGCTTTCTGTTTTGTTCCATTGGTCTATATGTCTGTCTTTATGCCAGTAACACACTGTTTTAATTACTGTACCTTTGTAACTTATTTTTGAAATCAAAAAGTGTGATTCCTCCAGCTTTGTTCTTTTTTCTCTCAAGATTGTAAAGCTAACAATTTTTTATAGGCTTGGTGAGTGAATTACTTTCATGTCAGAGACTAGGTTTAATAGTGTCCTTTCCTTCCTCACCCTGTTTATTTTAAAATAATAATCTTTGAAATTACTCTACAGGTAAAGGTTACAAGAAGATGATGCTCTGATCTAATAGCTCCATTTTTCTATATTGGTGCTAATTTGCCTTTCAAACTTTGTTTTCTTTTCTGTTTCTTTAAAGGCTGAAAAGAAGGGAGCCAGCAATACAGTTATTGGTATGATCTTTGGATGTTATGCTTTGTTTAACTTGCTGGCATCTTTGGTATTTGGAAAATATGTAAGTATTAATTTTTTTAAATTGTGTAATGAGTTATTCTAATTTACTAGTCTAGAACTTCCACTGATACAGAAATAACCACCATTATATTTTATGAATCATGCTTCAGTTGACAGTTCCATTCTTAAAGTTGATTGATTTTTAACTTCTTCCATGTTTGTAAGCAATGCATGTTGTCATTCCATTAAAGACTTATAATGTTTTGTTAACTGTACATATCTTCCCCAAATCTTTTGTTTCCTGATACAGTGGATTTGTTTATGTCACTATAGACTTGTAGCAGTCATCAATTTACACTTTTCTTTGACATTTATTATAGCTTGTACATATTGGAGCAAAATTTATGTTTGTAGCAGGAATGTCTGTCTCAGGAGGAGTTACAGTTCTCTTTGGGTAAGTCATGTTCTGATATGTTTGGGATCTTGAAGAGATTTCATAATTTATCTTCAGTTTAAAATGTTAATGGTTTATGTAAATCAGTCAATACCATGTGACTAATGTTGAAGGGAGTTGAATGATACAGTGAATGGAATGAATGACATTGATCTTAAGAAAGGAGTCCTCTAGGGGATCACCATTAAGCCGGCTGCTGAATCTGTTCTTTAGGACTCCTGTGATCGTGAGAGACAGAAACTTAACTCCCTTTTCTGAGTCACAAAAACTTTTTGGCTTAAGCAGAAAGGTGAATTTCTTACCTAAAGAATCAGCTGAAGAACATAAGGATACAAATGTTAAGATAATGTCATCAGAAATCTTTCTCAGGTTCCTGGTTTTGCTTTCCTCTTCCTGTGTTTTTTTTATGTTTGGGGGGAGACCTAAAACTAAGAAGGCTTTCTACGTATGTTCTTATCAGAGTGGCTCTACATTTTTCAAAAGGCCTACTTAGGATTATTATTTAGGGCATCAAATATATCAGTAAAAAAGCGCAATGAGGCTGTCATTATGACTCAGATTCTTCCTACTAAAAATATAACAAAGAAACTCTTAAAAAATTTGTATTCTGAAGAGATTTATTTTAATAACTGTGGTTGAGGTACTACTGTTTTCAGTGAGTACAGTTAAAAAAAAAATCAAAATCAATTTGGCACTTGAGAGTCATCTTATTCTTTTTTTAGTGTATTGGACCAAGTTCCAGAAGGACCCGTGTTTATTGCTATGTGTTTTCTAGTGAGAATAATTGACGCAATCAGTTTTGCTGCAGCAATAACCGCATCTTCTTCTATCCTTGCAAAGGCTTTTCCAAATAACGTGGCTACAGTAATGGTAGGTATTTTATACACTTTTCCTATTTTCCTTTTAGTGTAGGCTAAAATATTTATTTGGCCTTTCAAGTTAAACCTGGGGCCCATTCTTCTAGACCTGCCTTTTTTCTACTTTCTGTTTTTGTTACCTTTTACCCCAATTTCTGCCTGTAGCAGCAAGCTGTCAATAAATATACCCTTAGTCTACTTAGGTGCTCTTCCTGGGCTTAGAAGCCCCTGCATGGGCAAAACCAAATGTTCTTTTTACCCCTTAAAAAATGAAAAACCCTCTCTAATAGTATTTTGTTGTCTCTCTATAGCCTAGATTGTAGCTAGGCCGCCTGAAGCAGATTTATACTAGAGTCCTTCCTCCACTTTTCCCAGGTTCACGGAAAGGACCTTAGAGATCATTCTGAAGTCCATAACTGCTTCTGTGCAGTCAGTCTGAGGAGCGCCCTCTTATTTTACCAAAAAAATCCAGAGCCTGGTAGCATCGTATTGGCGTACATTCTCATATATTGCCTCCGCGCCTCGACACCAGGTATTAGAGACATACCAGGTTCCTGTCCTAGCTCTTGGCTGCTGTCTCCCTGATCCCAACTAGCCTTTCCCATAGCTCACTCCTCTGGACCCAGACATCCCCGAAGGACTCCTGGTTTGCATCACAGAGCAGGCACCACCCTCAGAGACCTCAGGGTCTAATCAGCTCAGTACCAAGGATTCTCCCATTTACCCATATTAATACTACAGTTTGAAAGTTTTGACACTCAGGTAAACTGTTTGCTGTATAAATATAAATCTTCACACTTTTATTAAATATATGTACACATATATTTATACACCCATGTAAGTATATATATATATATATGTATGTATATATATCTGTATAGATTCACTTTAGGTTCTGTAGTCATTTGCCATGCAATGGTGGCCACTGTAACAGGTGTACTGTTTACATTTCTCAAGAAGGGTTCAGAAGGATGCTAATCCATTGACATGCTCTGTAAGACAAGGTTTTGTGGCTAAACATGTTTGGAGTGTGCCTTTGCTGTCCTTCAACTTAGAGATGGCCAGTTCACAGTAGAGCTAGTTGTATTTCATTTTATGTGTCAACAGTCTATTTACAACATTTTCCCATTTTCCCATAGGATTGTGTTTTTTCTTTTCTCTAAATTTTTTAAAATATGTTTATTTATTTATTTGGCTGCATTGGGTCTTCGTTGCTGCACGCAGGCTTTCTCTAGTTGCGGCGAGCAATGGCTACTGCTTGTTGTGGTACACGGGCTTCTCATTGCAGTGGCTTCTCTTGTTGTGGAGCATGGGCTCTAGGTGCGTGGGCTTCAGTAGTTGTGGCATGTGGGCTCAGCAGTTGTGGCTCGTGGGCTCAGTAGTTGTGGCGTATGGGCTTAGTTGCTCCACGGCATGTGGGATCTTCCCGGACCAGGGATCCAATCCGTGTCCCCAGCATTGGCAGGCAGATTCTTTTTTTTTTTGCGGTGCGCGGGCCTCTCACTGCTGTGGCCTCTCCCGCTGCGGAGCACAGGCTCCGGACGCGCAGGCTCAGCGGCCATGGCTCACGGGCCCAGCCACTCCACGGCACATGGGATCTTCCCGGACCGGGGCATGTCCCGTGTCCCCTGCATTGGCAGGCGGACTCTCAACCACTGTGCCACCAGGGAAGCCCGGCAGGCAGATTCTTAACCACTGCACCACCAGGGAAGTTCCTCCCATAGGATTGTTGATTTTTCTCATTGATTAGTAGTTGCTCTTGTGATGCATTTGGGAAATTAGTTCTTTGTCAATATTTTTTCCCCATTCTTCATTTGTCTTTTGATTTTTTTTTGCCATTCATAGTTTTTCATATTTTCATGTAATCAGATTTATCAGTCTTTTCTTTTGTGTCTTCTAAGTTTTTATGTCATAATTAGAAAATTTACCTCACCATAAGGATTAGAAAACAAAAAACTCTCATTTTTAATTTTTCTAGTACTTGTATGATTTTAATATGTATGTTTAAATTTTTGGTCCATCTTGGGTGTGTGTGTGGTATGTGTATAAATTGTAAAGTGGATAGAATTTTTTTCAGATCCTGCCCATTAAATCTTTGTTCATTTTTCAAACAAAATATATTAACTCAATTTTCTTTCGTTTTCCCATTTGTAGGGAAGTGTTGAGACTTTTTCTGGACTGGGTCTAGTACTAGGGCCTCCTTTGGGTGGCTTCTTGTATCAATCCTTTGGCTATGAGGTGCCTTTCATTCTTCTGGGATGCATAGTTCTGCTGATGGTTCCCCTCAACATGTGTATTTTACCTAATTATGGTAAGGCCTCATATATTACTCACTTTAAGAACCTTAAATTTAAGTATTTTTATGCTTTTGTAGGAGACCAATATCTCCTCCCTCTTGCCTTTCCCTCCCATCCTCCCTATCCCACCCCTCCAGGTGGTCACAAATCACTGAGCTGATCTCCCTGTGCTATGCGGCTGCTTCCCACTAGCTATCTATTTTACGTTTGGTAGTGTATATATGTCCATGCCACTCTCTCACTTTGTCCCAGCTTCCCCTTCCCCACACCCTGTGTCCTCAAGTCCATTCTCTACGTCTGCATCTTTATTCCTGTCCTGCTCCTAGGTTCATCAGAACCATTTTTTTTTTTTTAGATTCCATATATATGTGTTAGCATACAGTATTTCCTCTTTCTAACTCACTTCACTCTGTATGACAGACTCTAGGTTCATCCACCTCACTACAAACGACCCAATTTCATTCCTTTTTATGGCCGAGTAATATTCCATTGTATATATGTACCACATCTTCTTTATCCATTCATCTGTCTATGGACACTTAGGTTGCTTCCATGACCTGGATATTGTAAATAGAGCTGCAATGAACATTGTGGTACATGACTCATTTTGAATTATGGTTTTCTCAGGGTATATGCCCAGGAGTGGGATTGCTGGGTCATATGGTAATTCTGTTTTTAGTTTTTTAAGGAACCTCCATACTGTTCTCCATAGTGGCTGTATCAATTTACATTCCCATCAGTAGTGCAAGAGGGTTCCCTTTTCTCCACACCCTCTCTAGCATTTGTTGTTTGTAGATTTTCTGATGATGCCTATTCTGACCAGTGTGAGGTAATTCCTCATTGTGGTTTTGATTTGCATTTCTCTAATGATTAGTGATGTTGAGCATTCTTTCATGTGTTTGTTGTCAATCTGTATGTCTACTTTGGAGAAATGTCTATTTAGGTCTTTTGCCCATTTAAAACGGTTTGGCAAACTTTCTGTTTATCTAAAGAAGGATCTTCTCTTTAGATTGAATGGAAAAATCTGGTATTTTTTTTTAAATCTCAAAAATTGATAATGTTAAGGGTATAAATATTGATTTAGGGGTTCCCATTGAGTACCTTTAAATATTAATGTTTTAGGAAAGCTTATAGATAGAAGCTAGAAAATTAAATTTCCTTTTATTTTGATGATATTGGCAGAATTTTGTTCTATAGGTTCCACCTCACTCATTTAACTGCTTCTAGACCCATGAACAATGTAGCTTTAGGTTTGGGTGTCTAAGAGTCAACTTCGGTTCCTCCCTCTCTCTCATCCTTTATATCTGCTCGCCAAGTCACCTCTTCCATACTGCACTAAAGAAATATTTTTAAAACACAGTCAAGTACATGACAATCCTCTTAGTAAAAATCCCTAAATCCATGAAATGAGAGCTTTATCCTGAAAGCCACTAGGAGCTGTTGTTAGGTGTCAGCAGGGGAGTCACATGAGTTGAACTATCTCCCACTTCTACTCTACCTAACTCCTACTCATCCTTCAAAACTTAATTTGTATGACCTCTTCTGGGAAGTTTTTCTGAACCTTCTCAATCAATGATCTAAATGCTAAGTCACTAGTGCCACAGTGCTCTGCATTTTTCCTGCCCCTTCACACCTGAGGGCCACACCACTTCCTCATCTCTAAGAGCAGTTTCCTGTGGCAGGCATTGTCAACCATGGAGTTCTGTCCCTCCAAGAAGAATGTATCAGAATTGGAGGAAGCAGAGAGAATACCTGAGTAGCTTGGAAGAGCTTCCCAGGTGATTTTGTCACGTGCCTCTGGAAGTAGGTATCACCATAAGTTTCCATTGCTTGGGCTTCATCAGCAGCTTAGTTAAACTCATTATGTGTTCATTTTCATGTATGTTCCTGTATGTTCTTATTGCGATAATCCCCTTTCCCACTGGATTTAGAGAAAGGGACCATTTATGCCATAATAATTTGTCTTATACCATACATCCATAATACCTTCTATATGCATAATAAATGTAATTGATTACAGTTGATCTTTTATCATTTATATTTTAAAGGTGACTAATAAACATCTGTAATATACAGTCCAAAATCCATACCCAGTGAAGTCTCCCTGCTGGCACGGCCACACTGAGCCACATGGTGGTGCCTATCCCCGTTCTAAGTCAAATCTGTAGTTAAACATCTAGGCTGGGCTCACAATTGGTTCATCGTTGAATATTTGGCTAATAGTTAAGAAACTAACACCACAGTTTAACTTTATCCCTCATCTCCTGACAAAGTCCAAGTGTAGTACTTAAAATAGTTGAACCACACTTTATGCTTTTCTGGTACTTTGCTCCCTACTGGATCATTATTCACCAAGAATTTATTGAGTAATGAACTGTGGTGGGTGCTTTTGGAGAAATGAGGATATGTCAGTGCTGATTTGGCCCTAGAGAGCTTCCTGGCCTGGCTCAGTGCACAGTCTCCTAACTCGTCCCCCTGTCTGCATTTCCCAGGAGACCACAGAGGGGTCTCTTTAAACCACAAATCTGATTCTCAGTCTTTGTTTGCAGTGTCTAGTGATTTCCCGGGCTTCTTAGCCTATTTTACAAGTGCTGCATAATCTTATCACTACATCCTTCTCCAATGTGATCTCTCTTCCCTACCCTCCAATTTCCATCCTCCACCTTTGCTTCTGCTCTTTCATTTCCTCAAACAGAATAGTTTTCCCTCACTTCTGAGTCTTGGAATGAGCCATTCCTGGATAGTATGCCTGGATTATTCTTTCCTCCTTCTTTGCTTGTTCATCTCAAGCTCATCTTTTAGGCAGCAACTTAGATAGTACTACTTTTGGAAATTCTTTCCTAAACAGCTTTCCCTGTTTTTTTAAGGCAACCCTCTCATATGCTCCAATCCATACCCTCCTAGCTCCATCCTAGCTCTCTCCACACGTTACTGTATCTTCTCTGTGAGGTCAGGGTCTGGGTTTGTCTCCTTTGCCTTTGTCTGCCCAGCATTTTGCATGGTATCTGACTCAGCATAGATTTTGTTCAGTAAATTAGTTGGAAGATAGGAAAGTCATCAAACAGTAGTAAACCACGTAAAATGAAATACAGTTTAAGTGCTCAATTACATGGTATAGATTAGAAGTGCAGTAGGAAACAGAAGTAAAATTTGTGGGGTAATTAGGGTCACAGCCAGACTTTACAGAGTGAATAGAACTTGAAAAATTAGCAGGGGAAAAAGAAGGGAGTTGTAGGATATGATTGGCGGCTTGGGAACAACCATGCCTGGTGTTTGGGACGGTGCAGAAGTTGTGTTGCTGTTGGAATGGCAGGACATGAGGTTGCTGTTCAACTGACCTTTACTGCCAAATGGAAGGTACACATGATTCAGTAGCATCTCATTCTTTTTTTTTTTTTTTTTTTGGCCATACCACACGGCATGCAGGATCTTAGTTCCCTGACCAGGGATCGAACCCATGCCCCCTGCAGTGGAAGCAGGGAGTCCTAACCACTGGACTGCCAAGGAAGTCCCGAGCATCCCTTTCAATCCAGTGTTTTTTTTCACGAGCAGAAAAAAGTTCTTTTGTATTCTTTGATTAACTCAGATTCCTCCTCAGCACACACACATTGTTCCCTGATAAAGCGTCTGGCTTTTACTATGCACCAAATCAAACTTTACATATTCTCTACCCCATCTGGGAAGGCCTCACTGACTTCTAGGTTATGACCCGTAACCAAGACTGCTTCTTCTCACACTCTGATTCCAGTTGATTCTCTTTGAATTAGAGAAATTATTTTTAAGAACACTGAAATGGCCTCTAGGTTTGAATAACTCATATGCAAATTTTAGGCAAACTCAAAAGTGTGGTTATTTTGATTACTGGATAAAGGTGACCTTACCAATTTTACTTTTCAAAATAGATTGAAAGATAAAGTTAAGCAATTTTCTTTACTCTAATTTCTTTTTTTATTTTTTACCCCACAGAGTCTGATCCAGGGAAACACTCATTCTGGAAACTCATCATTTTACCCAAGGTTGCCTTTATATCCTTCGTCATTACCTCACTCAGCTCAGGTTTTGGCTTCCTTGATCCTACGCTGTCCCTCTTTGTTTTGGAGAAGGTGAGTAGCCTGGTGATGCAGACCTCCCCATTGTAGCGGGTGGACATATTTGCTTGCTCTTGGGCCCTGCTTGATGGAAAATCCTAGGAGTGGCTTCAAGAAGGAGGCAGAATGAGAGCTACTCACCAAGACAGCCTGTACCTTCCCTCTGTGATGTCCCTATAACTAGGGGTCTGATTTGGTGTAAACGAAAGAAGCCTTTCATCTGGTCTCCTTTTTTCAAGGCCTTGCTCGAGTCATCATAGGTCTGGCTTGGGCAACATCCTGGCTGCTTAATAAGGATACTTTCCTCTGTTTCGATTCCAGTGAGGCATTTGGGATACTTAGTGGCTCATTTAATGTGAGGTGTCCCTTCTTTTCTAGCAGATCCCCTCTGGGTCCATTTACTTTTTAGTCTATTGCATACATATTCAAAAGACTGTGGGCTATATTAATCTGAGATGAGAGAAAGGAACCAAGAATCTCTCTCCATCTTTTTTTTTTTCGGTATGCGGGCCTCTCACCGTTGTGGCCTCTCCCGCTGCGGAGCACAGGCTCCGGACGCGCAGGCTCAGCGGCCATGGCTCACGGGCTCAGCTGCTCCGCGGCATGTGGGGTCCTCCTGGACCGGGCCACGAACCCACGTCCCCTGCATCGGCAGGTGGACTCTCAACCACTGCGCCACCAGGGAAGCCCTCCATCTTTTTAATGCTGAAAATTATATACTGAATTTTAAAGTTTGATGTTATAGCAATTTGTTCTTAGATATTTTTGAAAAAAGATTATTAATAAATAATGCAATAAATTACTAAGTCTGATAGTTAATTATCCTGGAGAATTAATCTATGTTTATAAAGACAGAAATCTACTAGCTGCAGTCCATACTCACTTTATTTGAGGCCCTAGAATGAAAAAAGCACTGTTACCAGAAACACAACCCCTTCAAGTCAGTAAAGACAGTTTTGGGTATTTCACAGGTAAACTTGGGGACTGTTATTTTAGTGCCGGACCCAAGTTTTAGAAAATAATATAATATCACACTTAAGAAGTAAGCATCTATGAGGTAATGCATAAGAAAAATACTTTGTATTTATGGTGACACATTCCATTCACATTATCAACAACGTGTCTCTTTTTTTTTAATATAAATTTATTTATTTATTTATTTTTGGCTGCATTGGGTTCATTGCTGCACGCGGCTTTCTCTAGTTGCAGAGAGCAGGGGCTACTCTTCATTGCGGTGCGCGGGCTTCTCATTGCGGTGGCTTCTCTTGTTGCGGAGCTCAGGCTCTGGCTGTGTGGGCTTCAGCAGTTGTGGCACATGGGCTCAGTAGTTGTGGCTCGTGGGCTCTAGAGCACAGGCTCAGTAGTTGTGGCACACAGGCTTAGTTGCTCTGCAATATGTGGGATCTTCCTGGACCAAGGCTTGAACCTGTGTCCCCTGCACTGGCAGGCACTGAACAACCAGGGAAGCCCAACAACGTGTTTCTTTAAGTCATTTTTCTGTTCTTTTAAGAAGTGTGTCCAAACGATGAAAAAAAAATTTGTAACCAATCTCTCATAAACCCAAGTTGCTCGTGTCTAACTTATTAAAAAATCCTTAGAAATGTACTTTCTGGTTTTTCTATCACATTTTTGTTCCTGTTGCCCTTCTGCCTTCTTAACAGTTTTTTGTATTGGCTGTTTGCTATCCAGTCGCTCAGCCTTTTAGGGAAGGAGGGTTCCACCCTGTCTCCCCCGTTGTAAAATCAGAAAAGGACATTTCTGACTTTTGTATCTTGCTACTGTCTTTAAAGGGCTGATTTTTAGCTTGAGTTATGTCATTAAAATTATTCAAACATATACTGATGTATAAATGGATCTCATGGGCTTAATTAAGGATTAGTTAAGGAAATTAAGGAAAATGAGAACAACTCAGATAACCAAGAAAGGCATGTATATCATGTTGGTAACAGGAACAGTGGCAGAGTTATGAGGTAGCTTACTACTTTAGAAGGCTTTTAAAATGTGTCATACCATCTAATTCTTTAATTAGAAATTTATATCTCTTTGAGATGGATAGAATAGATATTCTTGTCAGTGTTTTTGACACCAGTGCACTTCAGTCTGCGGGCAGTGAGCATTACCTGGGATTTTTGTTAGAAATGCACATTCGCAGACCTCATCCCAGACTTTTTGAATCAGAAATTCTAGGGCTGGCGTCCAAGAACCTCTTATAACAAGTTCTCCGGACTTGTCTTGTGGTGCAGTGGTTAAGAATCTGCCTGCCAGTGCAGGGGACACGGGTTCGAGCCCTGGTCCGGGAAGATCCCACATGTCTCGGAGCAACTAAGCCCATGCACCACAACTACTGAGCCTGTGCTCTAGAGCCTACGAGCCACAACTACTGAGCCCGTGTGCCACAACTACTGAAGCCCACACACCTTGAGCCTGTGCTCCACAACAAGAGAAGCCACCACAATGAGAAGCCCACGCACCTCAAGGAAGAGTAGCCCCCGCTCGCAGCAACTAGAGAAAGCTCGGGCACAGCAACGAAGACCCAATGCAGCCAAAAATAAATAAATAAATTTATTTTTTAAAAAACCCACAAGTTCTCTAGGTAATTTTTTGTGCATACTAACGTTTGCAAAGCACTGATTGACATGTAAAAATGCTATGATTCATAGAAGGATAATTATACTATATTTAATGTCAAATGCTACAAATCAAAAACATCCAGGACTTCTGACCTGTGGTTAGGTTTTTTCCCCTATAGAGAAACTGTAATCCGTTTATAAGAGTAAGACAGGGCTTCCCTGGTGGCGCAGTGGTTGGGAGTCCACCTGCCAATGCAGGGGACGCGGGTTCATGCCCCGGTCCAGGAGGATCCCACTTGCCGCGGAGCGGCTGGGCCCGTGAGCCATGGCCACTGAGCCTGCGCGTCCGGGGCCTGTGCTCCGCAGCGGGGGAGGCCACAGCAGTGAGAGGCCCGCGTACCGCAAAAAAAAAAAGAGTAAGACAAAAATTAGGAAGGTTGCTGACTGTTAGTAGTAGCCTCATGGCAGATAGTAAGAGCTGAAGAAATGGTAGAAGGAAAAGATAGATATTTATTGAAAAAATGACTTAACCATGTAACTTTAACACAGGATTTCTTTTACAGTTTAATTTACCAGCTGGATATGTGGGACTGGTATTCCTGGGTTTGGCACTATCCTACGCCATTTCTTCACCACTGGTGGGCCTACTCAGTGATAAAATGCCAGTATGTATGCTTTAGCGATATTTAAGAGTTACTTTTGTATGTCTAGACTGGTGGTTGTCCAACTGTACTTCCTGAACTCTAGAGGTCCACTGATTAGAATTAAAATATTCAGTTTTTAAAAAAATTTATCTTTATTGAGGTATAGTTGACAAATAAAATTGTAAGATATTTAAAGTATACATCATGGTGATTTGGTATACATACACCCTGAGAAAGGATTCCCTCCACCTGGTTAATTAACATATCCATCACCACAGTTACCTTTTTTGGGGGGGGTGGAGAGCAGTGAGAACATTTAAATTTTAATATATTCAATTTTTTAAGCTGATGGAGAGGTTTCAGTGTGAGGTCTCAGTATGTGCCAACCTGCCATCACCCTGAACAGGTTCACTTTTTAATTGCTTAATCTGGGAAAAGAGGACGAGTCTTATGCTAAAACTGTTGAAAAACTCTTGGATTAGACTTTCTAAAGGAAAAAGTTCCCTTGATGCAAAAAAGTGGTTTGACCTTAATAAGTAGGGCAGAGCCCCAAAAGTAGTTAGGACTTGACCAAGTTGAGAGGATAGAATTCAGTTTTTCTGTGGGAGTGAAAGGATTGGTCGTGTAAATATGCCTCAGTTATCCCATAGCCATCCTGACAGAAAATCCTTTCTAGTCTCCTTTAACTAGGTCTAAACCATTCAGTCCAGATGACTAGTATACAGAGCTAGTACTGTTAGCCAGGTCTCAAGCTTCTATGACTTTAGTGCTTATTTTTGTGTTTCCCCTCTTAATTAGATGTGGGTATATACTTATGAAGACTTATTACATGGAGATTACTTGGTAATCCAGGTGGAAAAAAACAAGTGTCTTAAACAGTGTTTGTAACTTAGTGTTAAGGCATAGCCTTATATAACTGAACAGATACCGCACCCCTATAACTGTTAGCCTGTGTTTGAGTAGTTTATAAGGAAACATTTTATTTGGTACTTTTTAATAATGTGAATTTTCTAGATAGTGCATCTACTTGGTCATTCCTTGTGGTGACTGCTTTTTAAATTGTTATATTTGGAACAGTTTATCATGTGCAAAATCTACAATACAATCCCTTTCCAAGGAATACTTGTCCTTTGCTCAACCCCTGTCTTGGGGTATATTGCACTTGCTTTTGTGTTTACCATCTACCTGTTTTCTCTTACATGTAAAATTTTGTTTTCTCCAATGTATTTGGATTTTTTAATATCATGACTTGTGTTCTTCAATGATTTCGTTATTTTCCTGAACTATGGAAGATCTTTACCTCTAAGAGTTTCTGTGGTCTTTCTTTATCAGCATCTAAGGAAATGGCTTCTCGTTTTTGGAAACTTAATCACAGCAGGGTGCTACATGCTCTTAGGACCTGCCCCATTCTTGCACATTAAGAGGTAATTTTTTTTCTTCTTTTGAATTTGTGGCAAAATAACATTAGGAATTATTTAAAAAATTTTTGGTGTAACACTGATATGCTTAGTATCTTTGAATCTTATTTAAATAATTACCAGATTTAGGACTATATTGAATTGTTTGTTTTACTGACAGTATTACTGGATGCTAGCAGTGATCTAGGCAAACAGGAATGCATAAAATCTGAATCAAATGATAAAAATGCTTATTCTCCCTTTGTATTTCAATTGCACATTTGTACTTTATTTTAGTTAATTTTTTAAAAATTTATTGTTTATTTTTGGCTGCGTTGGGTCTTTGTTGCTGCACGCGGGCTTTCTCTAGTTGTGGAGAGCATGGGCTACTCTCTGTTGTGGTGTGTGGGCTTCTCCTTGCGGTGGCTTCTCTTGTTGCGGAGCACAGGCTCTAGACGCACGGGCTTCAGTAGTTGTGGCACATGGGCTCAGTAGTTGTGGCTTGTGGGCTCTAGAGCTCAGGCTCAGTAGTTGTGACGCACGGGCTTAGTTTCTCCACGTCATATGGGATCTTCCTAGACCAGGGCTCGAATCCGTGTCCCCTGCATTGGCAGGTGGATTCTTACCCACTGCTCCACCAGGGAAGTCCTGTACTTTATTTTAAAAGTAGTATTTGTTATCTACCTTTAGCTGATAGTTCTTAGAATATACTTTTGTTTTTTCTATTCCTTCTTGCCCCTTGAGGAGGGAACTAAATCATTTTTGTTTCTGTATCATCCTTAGCATATGGTAGCTACTTAATAAAGCTTGTTTATTTTTTATTTTTTTAACGAAGATGTTGGGGGTAGGAGTTTATTAATTAATTAATTTATTTTTGCTGTGTTGGGTCTTCGTTTCTGTGTGAGGGCTTCCTCTAGTTGTGGCAAGCGGGGGCCACTCTTCATCGCAGCGCACGGGCCTCTCACTATCGCGGCCTCTCTTGTTGCGGAGCACAGGCTCCAGACACACAGCCTCAGTAGTTGTGGCACACGGGCCTAGCTGCTCCACGGCATGTGGGATCCTCCCAGACCAGGGCTCGAACCCATGTCCCCTGCATTAGCAGGCAGATTCTCAACCACTGCGCCACCAGGGAAGCCCAAGCTTGTTTATTATCATTTATTTTCTAAAATAAAATGAGCTACTTAGAGCTTTTTAGGTACCTCTGGGACAAAACATGATATGGATAAAGGAATGATTTCAGAGTCTTTCAGATTTGGGTTTGTATTTGGGCTTTGCCCCTTCCTTGGTATGTGAACTTGAGCAAATAATTTAACTTCCAAGAGCCTCAGTTTTCTTATCCACCAAAAAAGCCAATAATAGTACTGTTGAAATAATTTTCTAGGCTCAAGATAGAGTGACTCCAGCCCAGGGTGCCATGTCAGCAAACCAAAACTTAGAAAACTTTCATGTCCCTGTAAATGCTCCTCTTGACCAGAAAAGCAGTCTATCCCGTCACCCAGTCACCCCCAAACGCCAAGCCACCAACTGTGGGCCGCTCACCCCAAACAAGATGGACTGCGTAGCCCCAGACAATCAGATATTACCTGTTTTTCTCTTCCTTGTTTTTTTTTTTGGTGTGTGTGGTACGCGGGCCTCTCGCTGTTGTGGACTCTCCCCGCTGCAGAGCACAGGCTCCGGACGCGCAGGCCCAGCGGCCATGGCTCACGGGCCCAGCCGCTCCACGGCATGTGGGATCTTCCCAGACCGGGGCATGAACCCGTGTCCCCTGCATCGGCAGGCGGACTCTCAACCACTGCGCCGCCAGGGAAGCCCCTCTTCCTTGTTTTTTTTTTTCCTTATCCTGTAAAAGCTTCCTGCCTTCTATCCCATTTTTCAGTTCTCCAAAATGAGACCATCCACTTCATGAAGTGTTAAATAAAGTTTGTTTGTATCACCTAGATTGTCTTCCTTAATCATTTTTAACAGACTTACATGGCAGGGTTGCTGCAAGCATTCAGTAGAATAATGGATATGAAGTAACTGACGTAGGGCCCAACATGGAACACGTAGCAGGTTCCTGTCACTTCCTTTACCATTTTCCGTCTGTGCCATTTTTCAGTCAGTGGAATTTCAAAGCCAAGTGCTTGAAGGAGCAACATTAACATTGACATTTTAACCAACTTTGAAAGGCTTTTACATGGTGATGAGAAGGCAGGTCGACTCTGGGCATGTGACATGTGTGACCAAAGATATTGGGATAGCAGGAGAAATTGATCGTTGGCCCCCCTCAAAAACGTAAGGAGTTAAAAGGTGCTTTCACTGAACAAAATGGGATCAGATGGGGTAAGGACCAGACTAGTCATGTCATCTGTGAAACGAACTTGTCTGAGATCCTGCCTGCCCTCCTTGGCGTGAAGCTTTGCTGTCTCTTTCAATGTTAATTTTTCTCCCAAACTCTCTTGCAGTCAGCTCTGGTTGTTGGTGCTGATATTAGTCATAAACGGTATCTCTGCTGGAATGAGTTTAATTTCAACTTTCCCAGAGATTCTCAGCTGCGCACAGTAAGTTACTTCCATGGCTTGAAGAACTGTATCGTGATTAGCAATAAACATCACAAGCTTCCTTGAATTTCTCAATTTTGTAGGATGTTGGATATTTTTTTACAATACTAAATCTTCATGATTTCATGTCATGCAATATTGTGATATAAATAGTATAAGCAAAAGTACAATAATATAAATGATAATATATAGTAATGTTAATACAATGGTAGGTAAAATGGGTTGTGGCTAGAGGCTTGGCTTAGTTTATACCTCGGTACAGGTATACTTCTGAAAAGCCAGAGCATATGTATGTATAACTGAAGCACTTTGCCGTACAGTAGAAATTAGCACAGCATTGTAAATCAACTATACTTCAGTAAATTAAAAAAAATAAAGGCAAAGCACAGTGGGAAGCCCTCAGCATCATTTCCCTCTCATCGAGGAGGTCCACACACGGGCACAGAGCGACCAGGTAAATGGATTCTAGTAGCAATTCCAATTCCCTCACACCACCAAGCTGGGTGTCCTGCAATTCAACTAATTCTGACACTATTTACCGGGAGATAACACCAGATCCCACAGGTTAAGGGCTCAGTCCCACGAGAGCGCCCTCTGCTTCAGATGCCAGTTTCAAATGCAGGTTGTTACCTATGTTTCTGACCGACTGGCTGTAAACCAGAGGTTCCAACGACCCCCTCCGTGGGTTCTCTTCATTTGCTAGAGCAGCTCATAGATCTCAGGAACCCAGTTCACTCGCTAGCTACTGGCTTACTGCAAAGGATATTAAAGGATACAGATCAGCGGCCAGATGACAAGATATACAGGGCGATAAGGTCCCAAGCAGCAGAGCCTCTGTCCTTGTGGAGTTTGGGGCCCAGCACAATGGCATATGGAAGCATCTGGCTTCCCAAGCATCACTACATATGCATGGCTGGTTAAATCATTGGCCATTGGCGGCTGATTCAACCCCCACCCCCTCTCTTTATGGGGGAGGGATGTGTGGGCCTTGAAGTTCCAGCCCTCTAATCATATGTTGGTTCTCCAGGCAACATGGGTGCTAGTCCCAAAGTCATCTCGTTGACATAACAAAAGACATTTTTTTTTATGGCTTTCATCACTTAAGAAATTCCACGGGTTTTAGGAGCTGTGTGCCAGAAATGGGGAAGAAGGCCAAATGTATCTTTGTCACTTGGCCATCAGTCTTTTGTTTAATAGGCATAAAGATGAAGAACACAAAGTGAACTTGAGCAGGGAGAACCCTGATGGCTCTGCTGTTGTCAGTTCAACAAGCCTCAAAGCAATGCGGAGCTGCCTCTGTATTTTCTAAAGGTTGCCCATCGTTCTCTCTACCTGTTCATCTCATTTGAAGAATTTCTTAGTTAATTATATACTTTAATAAACATTTAATGCAAGTGGGTCACGATTCTTAATATTGTATCCTATATATGCAGTAGAAGTATTTTTAGAAAACCCTGGAGTAAATATTACTAGAGTAATATCTTCAAATGAGATTAGCTTTTTATTTTAGAAATGGAGTATTCTTGCTGTTGGGTTTATCCAGATTATCCCTGGTTTATTTTTATACCATACACTATTCTTTTGTTTCACGCAGGTTTCCCTTTTAACCACAGACACACTCGTTTCTCTTTGCAGTGAAAATGGATTTGAAGAAGGATTAAGTACCTTGGGACTTGTGTCAGGTCTCTTTGGTGCACTGTGGTCAGTTGGGTGAGTAGCTATTGAATTTCGTTCACACCTGCAAGTTGGAAAATGCTATCCCCATTTTACAGATGAAGAAATTGAGACACTGAGAGGTCAGATGAGTTGCCAGAAGGCACGTAATTCATTTCGGGCAGAGCTACAGTTCTAATCCAGCTGTCTGACTTCAAGATCAATGGTTATACCAGCAGTTTTAATGCATAATCAGAATGGTCTCATATACTTTGTCTTATTTAAGTGATATTTTAAAGTTCCTTTAACAGGAGCCTGTCTCAGTTTTGAAAATGTATTCATTTATTCATTCATTTGTGTATTTATTTTTAACTCTCTATTATACCAGAGGGATAACTGTATGCTGGCCATGTAGCTATCATCACTAAGTATGTACTGAGTTGTTTTAAATACAAATATCTAGAAGAGTAGAGAGAATAATATAAAGGTTCTTTTGAATGCATATCATCTTTTAAAAATTTTCATATAAGGCACCAACTTTTCAGAAGCAGTTATAATTTTAGGATTGTTTAAAAATTTTAAACATCATCACTATCAGGTAGAATTATTTTCTTACACCTAATGCTCTGTCCAGGAATTGGCTTTTTTCGTTAGTGTTTATAGTTTCAATATAATGAATTGAAGCAGTCATGCAGCCTATAAGGAGTAACTTCTTTTTTGCACTATAATCCTCTTTCTTCTTTTCATTGTTAGTGCTTTTGTAGGACCAACCCTGGGAGGATTTCTGTATGAGAAAATTGGTTTTGAATGGGCAGCTGCTCTGCAGGGTCTCTGGGCTCTGACAAGTGTGAGTAATTAGTCTTTTACTTTCATTTTCCTTATGTTTATGGAGAAATGTGACTTGGATAATTGACATTAACCAGTACCTTTCATTGTGTTCAAGGGACTAGTGATGGGCTTGTTTTATCTATTGGAGCATTCAAGGAGAAGGAGGAGGTATGGTCAATTCTTGAGTTTTTTTCCTCCCTTTAAAAGTTGGCTTGTGGGAGTGGAAAAAAGACACCATTTTACATCCATTCTTCCACTCTGGAGATTTCTGGGCACTCTGAGCCTCATCACTTGATAGACACATTTACGGAAATAGTTGGATAGAGATGTAGGTACTGAGTTTTTTTTTAAGGTGAGAAATATTGAGGTTGGCCTCTTCTTTCCTTCAACGTAGATCTAAACTTCAAAATAGCCTCGGCACAGAGGAGGAACGGACTGCTCTCTTGCCTGATGAAACGTAGCCTTACCTTAGGGATCCCTACTGATACGGGGCTGGGAGATGGATGCTCCTGGCCTTGAACTTCATCGCTGGAAGGATTTTCCTAATTTTTACGCACAAAACTCCATGGACTCCACACCAGCATCCTGAAATTGTTAACATAGTTTTCGATGATCCTGTGTTGGGCTGCACATACTGTTGTCCTGAAGAGCTGGCCTGCTGAACCAGCCGTATTTGAAACCTTAAGTATGCGAAGAGTTGTTGAAAATCAACAAAAGTTTTTGGTTTTGAGTGACCAGATTTGGCCCTGAGGATGTTACTGACTCTGGGTGTCCTGTTTCCTCTGTTTACTTTTTATTCTGAGGGCACTGATTCTGTGACTGTACCCTTTTTATTAACAGGGAAAGAAATGAATTGATTTGATATGCTTAAAAATAATATAAAGATAACTCAAAATATACATAATAATTACTGTGAAATCAGTTTTTAAAATATTTGCTTTCTCTGTGTCCTAAGATTTTTTTGTTTTTGTTCAAAAGGCAAAATTCCAGCCTACCATGGAAAAACTCTATTGCATACCCTGGCCATCAGCTCTTCTAAAACTATTGTTTGTGTGAAAGATACAAGAATAATATTACGTAACACTTCCAATTTTGTAACATGCTGTGAATTAGGATCTGGATTTATAAATAATGCTTTGTATAATATTATTCATTTCCCTTAATGTCTCTGTTTTAGTTCTATCATTTAAAAAAAAAAAAAGTACTCCCAATAGTTGTATCCCATTCCCAGAGCAAGTGAGCCCCCAGGAATGCTTGTTCTATGTTAGGGAAGGGGTTCCTCTGACTTCAGGTAAAATCCATGCTGTCGTTTGAAGTGAGTGAATCTCTGCTGTGCAACTCTCATACCTCCTGGTCCATTTTCATGCTGTAGTAGCCCCATTTACCCACCCACCCCTTTTTAGTAGAAGAAATGTTTTTTATCTGTTTATTAATTCAAAAATATTTATTGAATGCCTTCTCTGAATTGACATTGCACTTGATCTTACAGATTTAGCTGTGATCAAGATAAACAGAGTCTAGTCTTTATGGAACTAATATTCCAGTGGAAGGGACAAGCAAGAAATAAATACCAGAATCTCTAGTTATCTTGCAGAGATGCTATGATGAAAAACAAAAACCTGGTGATATGAAAGAGTAATTGGCTGGAGCTGATTAGGTGTGAGGATCCTCATTTAGGTAAGGCCTTGAACTGAGCTCTGAAGGATGAGAATGAGGCAGCCATTCTGAGGGGAGAGCCCTCCCTAGCATGTGCAAAACGGCTTGACATGGTCAAAGAGAAGGCCGTGGCCCACATGGCTGGAGTCTAGTAAACAGAGGAATTTGGGCGGGGGAGAGGAGCCGGCTTTTGAATGGAGGATTCTAGAATTTGATTCATATTTCAGGAAGGTCATTGTGTTTGCAGGGCCAAGGTGAGTGGGGATGCGGATTACCAGGGGTGGAGGGAAATCTTTGGAAGCTTTGAGAGAGACATTAATGGTTTGGATCAGGAAGGTGGTGCTGAAGTAGAGAAAAGGATGTGTTTGGAAGTAGAACCAACAGGGTTTGCTGATAATGGACAGAGAAGGGGAGAGAAATTCAGGAAGACTCCTAGGATTTGGCTTGAGGGCATGGGTGGTCAACTGGTGCCTCTTAGTGAAACGGGGAAGAATGGGAGAGAAACAGATCTGGAAGAGGCACATTAAACCATGCCCTTTCACACCACCATAAGGAAAAAATAAATAAAATTTAAAGGATCACAATACCCAGGTTGGAGAAGATGGACAGCAACTGGACCACGGACTGTTTCGGAAGACTGTTTGGCATTAATTCCCCAAACTGAATATTCACAGTTCCCATGAACTCTTCACTCTCCTCCTCCCCGCAAGTCCCTTCGCCCTGAGAACTCCAGAGGCTGGTCCCTTGCCTGCCAAGCACAAGTGGCCTGTCACCCGCTTACCGGAGCGGCACCAGGACGAGTGTGACCCCAGCCCCCTGCACTCGTGTGCACTGCGGAAAGGGCCAGGCCTCGATCTCCCGGGTTAAATCGTCCTGGCCCCTCTCCAGGGCTTTCCTTCCTTGGGCGCAGGATGCAGGCTAATGCGGGGCCGCCCCTCGTCCGCCCAGTGTCCGAGGATGCCGCCGAGTGCCTGTAGTTCCCATTTGTACCACGTGGGGCCGCTATTAAAGCACCGCGGGGATCCCGCAGCTCAAAGCCGGGCCGCGGCGCCCGAGCTCGCACCGTTCCCACCCGGCGTCCCGGCGTCACTCAGGGCTGTCAGCCTATTACCGTTACCAGCGCTGTTGACTGTTGAGACTAGTTCAAGGTCAACGCAAAGATTCCAGGCTTACTGGCTAGAGAACTTTTTGTTCCCCCTCCCAACATGCCGCTGTCAGTACCTACTGTAGATACCAGTGTATTTAAAGCCGCTTTGTACAAAAACAACTTTGCCCCTTCCTCATTTTATGATTTTGAAGTATTAAGATAAATGACAAAAAAAAGTTAAAAATATGAGAAACAATAGCAGAACTTTGAACCTTTTGAAACCAAAAGGTAGGTCAAAATTATCAAAGGAAACCTGTGTATGTGTTTATATTTATATATATTTATATTCATCTAAATGTAACAAAGTGCCCAATTTAAAAGCACTTTTAAAAAAATGAGACTGAATGTAGAATATAATAAATTAAAAAGTATCTTTTATGTTAAGGTCACGTTGCAACCTATACATATATGACATACAGACTAATCCCAAGGAAAAATAAAAAGGACAAATTTTTTTAAATCACAAATTGTTTTTTCAATTAAAACTTTTAAAAAATGTTTGAGGTAATTGTTGATTCACATGCAGTTGTAAGAAATAATACCCAGAGATCATCTGTCCTCTTTACCCAGGTTCCCCCAATGGTAACATCTTGCAACACTTAACAGTACAATATTATAACTAGGATATATTGGTAGAGTCGAGATAAAGAAAGATTCCCAGTCTTCAGTTGCCCATGCCCATACTTTTCTCTCACCCTCACTCCCTCCTTACTCTCTGGCCATCACTAATCTGTTCTCCATTTCTGTAATTTTGTCATTTCAAGAATCCTGCGTGAATGGAATCTATTGTATGTTATTTTGGGGGATTGCCTTTTTCATTCAGCAGAATGCTCTTGAAATCCACCCACATTGTTGCATGTGTCCATAGTTCATTTCTTACTGAGTAGTATTCCACGGCTTGGTTATTCATCCATTGAAGTGCATCTGGATTGTTTTCAGTTTGTGGGTAAAACAAATTAAGATGCTATGAACATTCATGTACAGGTTTTTGTGTGAAGATGTCTTCATTTCTCTGGGATAAATGCCCAGGAATACAACTGCTGAGTTGTGTCGTAATTGCATGATTAGTTTTTTTCCCCAAATAACCCATATATTTTACAAGGGAAATTTGATTTGGACAATAAATATTAAATATCATACATCAATGCAATATTCTGTTGTTTATTAAGTTATCAAGATTTAAATATGTTAAACATACCTTCTCATATCTAGCTGGCAAAAGAGGTGGGTAATAAATACTGACATAGCCAACTAATTTTCATTAAGTACAATTAATAAGTGAGAAGTAAAACCGATATCTTTTATTTATATACGATCATAGCAAAAGGGAATGATCCAAAGACTATGATAGTTAGCTTTCCTTTGGTCTCACTGTCATATGTCCTCAACTTGTGAAATAAACACGCAGGAGAGTAAGAAACAACATACTTAAGACAGAAAAAATAAAATGTTATCCAAAGTACTAACAAATGAAATAAAAGCCTACTTATTCAGTTTTTCATTAGGAACAACTAGCAGCTCTTAAAATATTTGCACTAGTTTCTTTCAGAAAATCCGCAGCTCCACTTCGAATCCCAGTTTGTTTATAGGTGACAATCTGAGAAAGCATGATGTTCAGTAATAACTTCTGGTTTATAGTTTAGTGCAATTGCATCAACAGTACTAAAATAAGCCAAATGCATTTCTGGTTGATCATGGTCAACAGTAGCACAAGTACAAAAAGCAGTATATTATTATCATTTTTTAAGTTTTTGTCATTTAAGATAAATTTGAATACCAAATCAGTTAAGTCACATTATTATATGTTTCAGAAATGACGCCGTGAGGGACTTTCCTGGCTGTCCAGTGGTTAAGACTCTGCGCTTCCACTGCAGGGGCACCAGTTCGATCCCTGGTTGGGGAACTAAGATCCCACATGCTGCCCATTGAGGCTAAAAAAAAAAAAAAAAAAAAATGACAGCCATGAAATCAGTTGTTGGATGAATATGAATAGGGTTTTTTTCTTTTGAGAATTAAAACCATTGTAGGTATATATTTCATTTGAACATATTGACCTGAAACAAATAGACAGCCAGATATTTCTTCAACAAAGATGGGTTTATTTAGAATCAATAGAGAATTGCAATTCAGGGTTTGTACAAGTGCCCACACAGCAAGGGAAGGAGAACACTTTTATAGATGGAAAAAGGAAGTTGGGAGGGCTCTGGTAAAAAAACAGCCCATGGGGCTTCCCTGGTGGCGCAGTGGTTGGGAGTCCGCCTGCCGATGCAGGGGACGCGGGTTTGTGCCCCGGTCCGGGGGGATCCCACGTGCCGCGGAGCGGCTGGGCCCGTGAGCCATGGCCGCTGAGCCTGCGCGTCCGGAACCTGTGCTCCGCAAAGGGAGAGGGCACAACAGTGAGAGGCCCACGTAAAAAACAAAAAACAAAAAACAAAAAAACCCCCAAAAAAACAGCCCATGGTGTTTCGTTGGTTGAGTTTTTGCCAGGAAAGAAGATGAATTTTTCTTTTCCCTGTTGGGCTCTGCTATCCTCGCAGGGTGTGAGAGCTTCCTCTCTGGTCTCCCAACTTTATTGAGATTTCTGTTTATTAATTTTTTGCAAACATCACACTAATACTTTTCACTTTCAGAACTTAAGTGAAATGAATGGCTATATTCATTTCCTCTGTTTTTTTCTCTTGCTGTTACTGGTTTGCTTTTGCCTCTTTTATTTACTTATCTGATAAAGATCAGAGTTACCTGGTTGTCGATGTGTCCATTCCTAAGAGCTGGGTCCAACCTCTAGATCTGAAACACGAATAGTGTGAGGAGAGGGATGTGCATTAAGTGGCACTGCCGTCTGGTAGTAAGGAAGCTGCAGGATTTAATTTCATGCGTGTCACTGAAAACTCTCTGAAAGAGCAAATATTCTTGAGGTGAAACAGCATTATTAATTGGAAAGAAAAACTGCATAAGAAAGGAAGATCTGCCCACACTTTTCCATTCCTGTACCTGGTGAATGTGTCTTAATGCAGCTCTCAGGACTTTGGTTAGTTGATTCAGAAGAGCAAGAAATCCCAAACAGGGCTTCCCTGGTGGCGCAGTGGTTGGGAGACCGCCTGCCGATGCAGGGGACACGGGTTCGTGCCCCGGTCTGGGAAGATCCCACATGCCGCGGAGCGGCTGGGCCCGTGAGCCATGGCCGCTGAGCCTGTGCGTCCGGAGCCTGTGCTCCACAACGGGAGAGGCCACAACAGTGAGAGGCCCGCGTACCGCCAAAAAAAAAAAAAAAAAAAAAAAATGTCCCAAACAGATGCTGCACATTAATTGATCTTCCATATGAACAAATTCCATTTAACAAAGCATAAGGTTTGGATTCTGGGTGGTCAAAGCAGACAAACGCAGACTTTGGCTTTTCTTCTCTGTCTTTGAATATAGTCACTTTGGTTAATGGCCCAGCTTATAAGAACCTGAAGAAGTAGCTCATATAGAAATTCCCAAGCTGGTTTCCAGAGTGGCTGTATCATTTCACAATCTTCCCAACAGCAACGCAGAAGTAACCCAGTTTCTTGGTAAATTTTCTGTGTGTGTGTGTGTGTGTGTGTGTGTGGTGTGTGTGTGTGTGTGTGGTGTGTGTGTGTGTGTGTGTGGTGTGTGTGTGTGTGTGTGAGGTTTAAAAAAATAGAATGATGTGTGAAATAGGGAGAGCTGTTGATCAGAGGGCGAACCTGTGGGACTGCTGGAGGAAAAGCCATCCAGATGAGCTCGTAGAAATGGACTTTAAGTTAATAATCCCTGGAGAAGCCATTCAGGTCAGATTGACATAGAAGACAGGAAACATGAAGGACTTTGCGGAAAGCGACAGAACAATGAGAAAATAGAGAATGTGAACTAATTGACATTCTTTTAGTGAGTTAGTGGCCAAGAACAGGTGAGCATCTGACTAGAGAGATTTAAAGACGTGGGTCAGCACTGCACTGGGCATTGCCCTCACAATAGGGCCTCCACCTTGCGGGCGTGAGATAATAACACCAGCCAAAACTATTCACATTTTAGCACCATTTTGCAGGTGAGGGAAACCGCAGCCCTGAGAGGACATATAACTTGCTCATGGCCACACAGATAGGAAGTGTTTCAAACCCAGGCATTCTGGCTACAGGGTCCATAGCCCTAACCATCACCCAATATCATCTTAGTTCAGGCTGCTACAACCGAATACCATCAACTGGGTGGCTTAAAAACCACAGAAGTTTCTTTCTTACAGTTCTGGAGGTTGAGAAGTCCAAGAACAAGGTGTTCGCAGATTCAGATCTGGTAGGACCCAGTTCCTGGTTCATAGATGGTGGTCCTGTGTCCTCACATGGTGGAAGGGGCAGGTGGCTCTCTGGGGTCTTCTCTCTACGGGCAGGAATCGCATTCAGGAGGGCTTCACCCTGAGGATCTAATCACCTCTCAAGGGCTTCACCTGCTAACACCATCACACGGGGGATGTGATTTCATTATATGAATTTGTTGGGGGGGGTGGACGCAAACGGTCAGTTTATGACACCAACTAACAGACATTTCAGAAGTTCCTGTTGGTGAAGTCAATGAACTTTGGCAGAGTTGGATCCGAACAAAATAAAGGATTTGCAAGTGAAATCATCAGGAAGAGAGCTTGTTCCTATTTTTCTTTTGAGGAAGTGGGGACCTTCAGACAATGGGGGAGCACACTGCCAGTTCAAAGGGGCTTCTGCAGCCCGGCAAACCACGATCCTAAACTTCTAACAGCAGAAAGTAGAAGGGTCGTTTGAACCACATGAAATCACTGTTGCCGCAGGTCCAAAACAGGTGGCGATTAGCAACTTCCTACGGCACAAACCTTTCCATCCGTTTTGGGAGCAGCAGGCTGTGATGAATCATTACTCTCAGATTCTCTCTTGGTTTGAGTTGCATGAACTGTCTGAAGAGCTGAACACCAATCCAAGTCCAGAGCTGGAGGAGCTCCTCACCTGGGCTGGGATGTGGCCCCAAAAGGTGGTTAAAGCTCAGGCTGCTTCTGCTCAAGCAGCCATTTCCTTTCTCAAACGCTGACTCAGACAGGCTTGCTAAAGACCAATGCAAGTCTCCGATGCGGACAGGGACAGAAACATTGTTCTTTACCACCAAGTACTTTTGTCGGGGGAGAGGGGTACAGTATCATCCTATTTTTGGTATACAGTGTCAAGAGAAAATAGTTTTAAATGTAGGGCCTGGAGCTTCCCTGGTGGCGCAGTGGTTGAGGGTCCGCCTGCCGATGCAGGGGACACAGGTTCGTGACCCGGTCCGGGAAGATCCCACATGCCGCGGAGCGGCTGAGCCTGCGCGTCCGGAGCCTGGGCTCCGCAACGGGAGAGGCCACAACAGTGAGAGACCCGCGTACCACAAAAAAAAAAAAAAAAAAGTAGGGCCTGGTTTTTCTCTTTTGCTTACTTATTTTTTGATGCCATCTTTGCTGCTTATGAGGAAACGCCATCAGTGACTGTACATGCTATTTCCAACTCTTTGTTAATGTCATTTCACACCTGGGAGAGGGGCCAGACCAGGAAGTCCTGAGGCCTGAATCAGAGCCGGGAGCCACCCCTTGTCTTGCTGGGGCCTTGGTGCTCTTACGATGCCTTCGCCATGCCGAGGATGTACGTCTGCCAGGCCCAGCTGGGCATGGTCCAGGAGTAAGTGCCCAGGGGCTGTGTTCCCCATCCCATCCTCAGCACAGTGCCGCAGATAGACCAGATTTGTCCAGCTGAACAATAGTAGCTCTGTGGACCTAACGATGAATTATGGAGTCAGGATCATTACATTACTAAATTGTCTCCCCTTTTTGTTAATTATTGTCATCCCATCATAATCTTGCAGAGGACTTTCATATGTCTTTGACTCTCAGAATAACTTTGTGAAGGTGATGGAGCAGGTATGATTACCTGAACTTTTAGGTGAGAAATAGGGTTTCAGAGAAGTGGAGTGCAAAGCAGAAACTACACTTCTACTCTTCTTACTTATTACAGCTAGAAAACCAAGTCCAGTTGAATACTATTTTAAGAGATGATCAGATTCCCAGTTAGAAACAAATATTTGAACTATGTCTATTTTTTTTATAGTGGCCCTTTGACCATATAATTTTGAATTGATTGGAATTTTCACCCTTGTAATCAAGTCCATTAATCACAAATTGGTAAATTAGTAAATAGGTCCTATTAGCAGTGACTAATACTTAATCAATGTACCCTGTGTCCAGGTAACATTATTTTATAACAGAGTTAAAGAAGTTAATTAAGGCTTACTTAATCAACCACCTTTATGAGCATAAAAATGTAAACTCTTAAAGTTCTATGTCCTGAATTTAGTCTTTCACCTCTGAAGATTTAAAACAATATCAACTGCTTCTATGACAAATGTATGTAAAAAAATTCACTTTTTTCCTTATGTCTTATGGATTTTTCCATATTTAAATTATTGTTTCATTTACTAGCTTCTGACTCTTCCATGCCATTGTCTTTGTTACTCAGATTCTCAGTTTTTATGACAATTTCTAAACGCTGCAGAGAAAAAAAGGAGCTTAATCACCTTGCCTTTGCATCAGAAACCATTTCCCCTTTCGCCCTCCAGCCAAAAAACCTGAATAAACATGACACTATTTCTCTTGTTTATAGCCACAAAGAGAGAAAAACGTCCAGGAAATTTGGGGACACTGAGATACGAGAGACATATATGATTGTTTCTGTTCTTACCCTGCAAAAGTAAAGATGTTAGCTTATCTTCACCAGCTTACTTAACTATTTACGAGCAAAAGAGATAATGAAGTATTACTAATTGGTGAGATTAAATCACAAAGAAGTAGATCATGATCCAAATTATATTGATACTTGTAGAAATGAAAGAGCTTACAGTTCTCAATTGCATCAAGTACTCACTCAGTATTTAGATTTATCTGTGGTCTTCCTAAGGTGGTCATTTTGAATGGGGTTCCTTAAAAGATACAAGTGAGGGACTTCCTTGGTGGCGCAGTGGTTAAGAATCCTCCTGCCAGTGCAGGGAACGCAGGTTTGAGCCCTGGTCCGGGAAGAACCCACATGCTGCGGAGCAACTAAGCCCGTGCACCACAACTACCGAGCCTGTGCCCGAGAGCCCGCGAATCACAACAAGAGAAGTCACCGCAATGAGAAGCCCACACACCGCAACGAAGAGTAGCTCCCCTTCTCCACAACTAGAGAAAGCCAGTGTGCAGCAACGAAGACCCAATGAAGCAAAAAATAAATTAAAAAAAAAAAGATGCAAGTGAGTGTCCAGACACTTGGATGCAGACATTAAAGCAGAGTACAGACTCGTGCATGATGTCTTGGGTATTGGGGAAGATCCTGGAATCAGGAGTGAAAAGTCCTACGCCCTGCTCTAAGTCACTCTGCCTCTCTATGCCTCAGGTTCCTGTCCTGTAAAGTGTGGGCGTTTGCGTTACATGCTCTGTAGACTCTAAAGGCACTCATAATCTACTATATAAAACTAGATTATAAATATCTCTTTCCCTTCACACTATCCACTAAAAACCTTGACCATTTTTCTAAAAATTATTTTCAGTTTTCTATTCTATAGAGGTAAGAAGTTATTTCTTTACTAAAAATTTCTATTCAAAGCAGAAAGTTTGAGCAGACCTCGTTTATAGCCCTTAGATCTCACCTATATCAAGACTTTTATCTCAGTATGAGAGAAAATATAAAAGAATTTTATTCCTTTCTTTCTACTCTTCTATGCCATCTAAAAGCATTTGAATGAAGAGACTCAGATTAAAAAACAAAATCAAAAACCGAAAAACCCCACTAAACTCTTGTGTGATAGGATTGGGACTGGGGAAGGGAGAATATGGATGTCCTAGGAGGTTATCAGAGGTCACATAACATATGCGTTTTTTTTTAAAGTTCATTTATGTGGTTATTTGCCTCTAACAAAAACGAAAATTACATTTTATCTGGGTTATAATAGAGATGATCTTTATAATCACCAACTGGAATGAGATGCTTCCCTTCCCTTCCATCTATCTCCAAAGAAAGGAAGGAAGGGGGGAAGGAGGGAAGAAAGGAAAGAAGGAAGGAAGGAAGGAGAGAGGGATGGGGCGGAAAGGAGTGGGGGAGGAAGGAGGCTTAGTCCCCGGAGGGCTAGGGCCTCCTTAGCAGAAGTACTTGATTTCTCCTCTGGCCAAACACCAGGGACCAGCACCCGGAGGATCAGTTCTTTGGGTACTAAGGATGCAGCAGTGAGCAAACCGGACACAAAATCTTGTTTTTATGGAGTGCAAGTTGAGAGTCTTTACTAGGTAAGTCAGAGTGTTGACTTGGGTGAATTTTCTTCCCAATATTGCCCTGTATTGCATTTTCCTAGTAGCAAATATTTTTAAATTTTTTCTTCTCTTCTAAAAATAAACAATGTAGATCTGTCAACAGAACAGAAAAAAATTATCTAGTTTTTGTAATTTAATAAATGAGATTTGTTGTGTTATGGTTTTGCACATGAGAGTTAACTTAGTTACTATTTTCTATTAATAAAAGGGTACAATTGTACTATATTTGAATTTTGTCTTCTTGAAATTTGACATTAAATCTTATCAATAGTACATGTACAATCCTTGTAATACTTTTTTTTTTTTTTTGCGGTACTCGGGCCACTCACTGCTGTGGCGTCTCCCGTTGCGGAGCCCAGGCTCCAGACGCGCAGGCTCAGCGGCCATGGCTCACGGGCCCAGCCGCTCCGCGGCATGTGGGATCTTCCCAGACCGGGGCACGAACCCGTGTCCCCTGCATCGGCAGGCAGATTCTCAACCACTGCGCCACCAGGGAAGCCCCTTGTAATACTTTCTGATTGTATTCAGGGAACTGAAATTTTTTTCCTCCAAAATGATCAGGCATAATATTCATGAGATTGTAAAATAAGAGCTGGCAGTCATGTTACCTAAATGTTCCTTCCTTTATAAATACTACATGAATGTTACTTTCACTTGCAGAACTCACTAGACCTTGACCATGATCATTTCCTCTTTTCAAACCTCCGTGGCAGTTTTTGCGCTAATTATTCTGCATGTCAGTGCTTTGGATACTTTCAAAGCTGCAGTATATGAACATGCTGTCATATTGCCAAATGACACAGAAACACCCGTTTCTCAGGATTATGCCTTGCTCCTCATGAACAGGAATATAGATATTCTGGAGAGAGCAATTAAGCAGGCTGCTGAACAGGTATTCTTTTATTTCTGCTAATCATAATTTATGAGGGGCATGAGAGCTGGTGAAGATTGGAGTGTTGAATTGTCTACATACATAGAGAAATAATTTTGATTTAACTTGTTTTGGACAGGGTGCTCAGATCATTGTGACTCCGGAAGATGCAATTTACGGATGGAAATTTACCAGGGAAGCCATTTTCCCTTATCTGGAGGATATTCCAGATCCTCTGGTGAATTGGATTCCATGTCAAGACCCACACAGGTATTTGAGTTATCCTAGGTGTTTGTACAAAAGTGCTGTGGTTCTCTAAAATGTACACGTTCACTTCAGCAAAATGATAAATTCTGAATGATCATGTATGTGGTGTATGTTATTGTTTTATATATATATCTTGGCATTCATTAGATTTTTAAAAATTGTACCTAGATGCCATTTAACAATTATTTATAATCTAGTATCTTTATTAAATTTGGAGAAATATAAAAAATTTATTACTGGGATTAGAAACTAAGGGGAACACGATCTCATGAATATTAATTTCTCATGAAAATTGATTTCTGAAGTGGACACACGGGGCTGTGTTTGGAAAATATTCCAAGGTCTCTATTGAAGGTACTATATTTCAATTCATAGTCTCTCTGCGCTAGAATCTGTTTCCCAGGCAGAAAGACCTCACTATCTACTTTCTAGTGAGACTTTATGTTTTGAAACTTTGCATTTTCCTAGGCTCATAAAGCTAACTTTCCTGGGAAAAAGTAACCTAGAAACTTTCTAATGTAAAATATTTAATATATGTGTGTATATTTAATACATAACTCCTACTATCTACTAAGGCTTGAATTATTGAGGCATGGATTGCACAATTCCATACTGGCAGTAAAAAGCCCCTCACTCTTTCACACTCGTTCTTGCGCTTTCTTTCACCCTCTTGCACTTTCTCTCACTCTTGTACCTCAAATTAAGTTTGTTAAACATCCCTTTGCCATGTTCCTGCTAGAGGATTATGGATACCACGCTTTTTGAGGCACTCGTGGTTAGTGTAAATTTTATATAAGGGTTATCAGAAAACAGCTTTTCTCAGCTCTAAAGAGACTAACCGCGCAACGAGGAGAATATCAGGTTACATGACAGTCAACCGCTCCACTTGCCAATCATTCCTGTTCTGAGCTGATGCTTCCTATGATGTTTGTAAGAAACACTTTTGTGGAAGAAGAGGGGCAATAGCTGGACAGTCTTTCTTTTGTTTTTTTTTATAAATTTATTTATTTATTTTTGGGTGTGTTGGGTCTTCATTTCTGTGCGAGGGCTTTCTCTAGTTGTGGCGAGCGGGGACCACTCTTCATCGCGGTGCGCGGGCCTCTCACCACCTCGGCCTCTCTTGTTGTGGAGCACAGGCTCCAGATGCACAGGCTCAGTAGTTGTGGCTCAGAGGCCTAGCTGCTCCGCAGCAGGTGGGATCTTCCCAGACCAGGGCTCGAACCCGTGTCCCCTGCATTGGCAGGCAGATTCTCAACCACTGCGCCACCAGGGAAGTCCTGGACAATCTTTCTGCCTAGAAGTTTTGAGAAAGGGGACAACCCATTTGTTTTCATCTCACAGTAGGATTGTAAGATGGACTTCCTGTTAAAAACAACATATGTTGCAAATTTATGGACTAGTCAAATATCACAGTAGCTTTGGAAACTGGTGAAAGTTGGGAGAGAGGTCTATTCCATATGGTTAGTAAATACCTCTTTCATAGCACTACGCTAGAAAAAAGAAATTTTGTCAGAAAATGGGCTTGCGTTGTCACCCAATACAGTTACATTTAATTCATTTAACTATTACTTATTGAGCATCTACTGTGTGCCAGATACTATTTTAAGAATAGGAGATATAGCACTTATTAAAACAAAGTCTTTGCCCTCCCTGTGGCTTATGAATATTCTAGTGGGAGAAGATAGATGTAAACAAACACATTTATTATATAGAATGTCATTTGGAGATAAGAATAGGGATGCTGACTGAAAAAAAAAAAGCACAACCTAATAGTTGACAATTATGTTTTCTTTGGGGCTTTACCAAGGACTTTAGCCTGGGATACAGCCCCTCAGATACCTCTTCGGACAGTTCCAAGGAGGTAAGGTAGGAACCAAGATATATAGGAGTTTTTGCAACCCCCCCAAAGGAAAAAACAAACAAGGTAGCCCAACATCAAAAGATTACTGCTAATGAGATGTCCCCGGCGGTCCAGTGGTTAGGACTCCATGCTTCCACTGAAGGCACGGCAGGTTCAATCCCTGGTCGGGGAACCAAGATCCCATAGGCCACTCGGCACGACCAGAAAACAAAAGAAAACAAACAAACAAACAAAGAGGGACTCCCAGGTGTTTGGCCTGAGCAGTTGGAGGCGTGGAATTGCCATTTACAGACATAGGGAGTGTTACTGAACCAAACTTGGGTCCACTTGCCCAGGCACAGCAAAGCCTATCTACTGACACCGGGCTGTGGTGAAGGAAAGTGCAGGGCCAAGCAAGGCATACAGGCAGCTCATGCTCAAAAGACCGAAACTGCCCGATGGATTTTAGGGAAGGGTTTTTAAAGGCAAGGTGAGGGAGATAGTGGCAGGGTGTGTGATCAGCTCTTGCACAGTTCTCTGATTGGTCGATGGTGAGGTAACAGGGTGATGTCACAGGGGTTAACATCATCTATCCTCAGGCTCCAGCCAGTCTGGGGGTTATGTGCTCATGGTCATCATGCAATTAGCTTCTTCCATCTGGTGGGGATTTTAGTATCTGCAAAACAATTGAGGAATGTGTGTCAGACTCTGTTGTTTATGTTCTTTGGGGAGGAACTAAAGATTCTGTGACTCTGCTGTATAGCTAATCTATTATTTAAATTGTTACCAGTTCTCCCCGCCCAACTGCTATTTTTTTGTTACTATGTGTTTACATCCTTCCAATCATTAATTCTTGAGCCAGTTTTTTGTGACTCAGGGGAGGCCTGGAAGACTAAAGCTTTTCCACAAAAAAAGAGGCAGGTAGAGGGCATGGAGGTTGGGGGGAGTCTGTCCTGGGAAGGTCCCATAGGGTCCTCTCGGTTACAGGAGCACTGAAGGAATAGAAAGTCTGGGATGGAACTCAGGAAGTCAGTTTTGTGCATCTGAAGTTGGAGCTGTGATTTAATAGATATCCAACTGGAGATGTAACCCTGGCAGTTGCCTATTCGAGTCTGGCATGAAAGAGTCTGGCAAGGTCAGTGTTGGAGGGGGAAAGTCAGGGAGAAAAAATTTTTAAATCAGATTTACTAACCTGGATAAGAGTAACTATCAATCCATCCCTTTTCGTGCATTCATTCACTCATTAACCCATGTAACCAGCAAATGTATAAAGAGCTGCAGTAAGGAAGCAGGAGGTGCGGTCATGATAAAGAAGCGTCTGAGGTTTGAATTCAGATTGCCTGTTAAATGCAAGCTCCAAAACACATAATTGTGCTGTAAACATCAAAGGTGAATCTCACTAGATTCTCATTGGTGAGGTCGGGGTTGTGCTTTAGCAGCGACAGCTCAAATGCGGAATAAATATCTCCTAAGTAAATCTAGGTCCACAGTAATCTTCTCACATACAGGCCTTTTTTTTTTAATATAAATTTATCTATTTAAATTTATTTATTTTTGGCTGTGTTGGGTCTTTGTTGCTGCACGTGGGCTTTCTCTGGTTGCAGCGAGCGGGGGCTACTCTTCGTTGCGGTGCGTGGGCTTCCCACTGCGGTGGCTTCTCTTGCTGCGGAACACGGGCTCTAGGTGCACAGGCTTCAGTAGTTGTGGCACCCGGGCTCAGTAGTTGTGGCACACGGGCTTAGTTGCTCAGCGGCATGTGGAATCTTCCCGGACCAGGGCTCGAACCCATGCCCTTACATTGGCAGGTGGATTCCTAACCACTGTGCCACCAGGGAAGCCCAATACAGGCCTTTTTTTCAAATCACGTTGCTCTTAATGAAACTAATGTAATAATGTAGTTTATAGGATGGATAAGTTTATCATCATTCTATTCAGACACTCACGTTTATAAATTTCCTCTTGTTTGCCTTCTATAAATAAACTCCATGTTCAAACCTATTAAGCTTTAGGAAATAAAACACAATATCTATCATCTATGCAAGAACAATAAAGTTGCATTTTTAAATATTGATAATCATATTTAGTTTTAAAAAGATACCCTAACATGGCTCTCACTCTGTTCCTTTCACATTTAGTGTGACTATTCTCAAGTAAGGTTAATAACTTATCAATAAGTATATTGCCACCTCCACATTGGTCAGTAATGTCAAAGAGCAAAGAATCTTGGTCCTCAGTGGAAGCAGAAATGTCTCAAAGAGTTACCTATTCACAGATGAAACCACAAAAATAAAAAAACACTCTACATATTCTTTATTCAGGGTAAAAATAGAGACCTTTCAAGCACATTTTAATTTTTATTTTTATTTAGAGATTACTTTGTTAGTTTTTGTAATCAAACCCATGTAGATGAGACCTTACATATTGAATACAGTGTGTTACCCCTGTACAAATGGAAAAAATTATGTGTTAACGTTTCTAGACCATTATAGCTGTTAATTTCTGTACAGTGCCAACCCAACACAGTACAACTGGGATACTTTTTCCAAAGTTGACAGCACAGCTAAAGTTTCCAAAAATTCCAATTTTATGTATATACATATATATGTGTATATATATATATTTATTTATTTATTTATATTCAAAGACCAAGAGCAGTATTTTATACGTCACTAGCAGCAACAGCGTTTCCAGGTTCTGCAGGCATCTGAACAAAATTATAGAGACATATAGCGCACTCCATTCAAGAAAAAAAGGTAAAAAAACAAAACCTCAGAAAACAGCAAAGTTCTGTTACTGTAGTGGTACCTGGCACCATTTTCTTTATTAGCTTCTCAATCATCATCTGGAAAGAAGACATTCTAGAATAACATCATTATAAATAGATCTGATAAAGCATGGTCACTACTATGTATCATAAAGCAGGTACAAGATGTTTTACATTCACAGAGGTATGATACAGTACTGTCCTACATCTGTAATGCTATAGGATATAATTAAAAAGATATTATTTGAGACTTGATTCTACTTTTCCAGCAGAGGGCCCAAAGGATGGTTACAACACAGCTCTGGTACAGAAATGTACCTTCTTAGATAGGATTTCCCTTCTTTAGTGTCACAGTTCTAGGCACTCACTGTCAAGCACATTTTTATGTCCTTAAACATAAACTTTTAAAAAGTATTTCTATAGTAGGAAAGTTAGTTTCATCATATAAAGTTATTCAATTCATTGTAAAGACACAGTAGTCAAATTTTCTATAAGACCTGCAAACATTTCTGTTCATACTCCTTTCATCTCCAAAGATAAGAATTATTGACCGCTTTGCATAACATAAGGCCACAGAGTTACAGCTAAAAAGAAAGTCACAAAGGTAAGAATAATGTCCCTTCTGTTGTAGTCTGCTATTTATTTGTCAGTTATCTTGGTATCTTCAGAGTATGGGCTTCCAAAGTTCAGGGCACTCAGAGCTGGCCTTGGTCTAATGGCTCACAACACTACCATTTCTAGGGGAGTTCCAGTGGTGTTCCATTCCTGCACTACCCAGGTAATACGTCTGCATTTCGGATTACCACAACTAACACACTGAGACCACTACCTCTGCCCTCACACCAGAAGGAAAGCTCATTTGGCTATTCCCTAACTACCAAGAAACAAATTCCCAAATACATCTTAAACTTCAAGACTTTAGGAGCTGGATTATTTTTGGAAATAATAAAAGAATAAACTTCCTTTATAAAAAGAAAAGAAACTTACCGCTAAGAGGGAGAAAACAATTTTTAACACCGTGATGAGTTCACCTGTGGAGTGAGTTACAGAAGAGATCTAATGCTTGTGCTATAAGAAACTACAGTGTTTAGACTCAGTGCAGATGAGGAGGAACCAGAAAAGGAGATGGAGAAAAGCACCCAGTGAGTAGGAGAATGAGAGCGTGGGGTCCAATGAGCAAGGTGAAGTGTTTCCGGGAGGAGGGTGTAAGTAACTGTGTCAACTGCTGCAGGTAAGTAGCACAAGATCACAAGATGTCCCATGAAGATGACATCATGTGGATGTCATCCTCAGTATTAGTGAGAGTTGTCGGGTGGGATGATAGCGATGGAAGCTGATCTGAGCGCTTCTAAAGAGAACGGGAGAAGATGGGCTGAGGATTGCAATGTCCAGCTCTTCCAGGGAGTTTTGTTGTAAGATGGACCTAAGGTATGGAGCATAAAGTAGAGGGGCATGGGGGTCAAGAGAGGTTTTTATTTTATTTTGATTAAAGAAGAGAGGTACTAGAGCATATTTGCATGCTGATGGAATGAACTAGTAGAGAGATGACAACCGTTGGTGCAGGAGAGTGAATAATAAATTGCTGGAGCAATAGATACAATGTGGAAAAAAATTCATCAAGGTTAGGCACAATTTGTGACTTCTACATATAATCTCTATCATATCACATAATTATCATTTCTTTTTTGTATGAGAACAATTAAGATCCAGTTTCACAGCAACTTTGAAGTTTATCATGCAGGATTGTTGACTATAAGTGCTATGTTATGCATTCAGTCTCCAGGACTTATTTATCTATTCGTTGCAAGTTTGTACCCTTAAACTTCATCTCCCCAGTTCCCCACAATCCAGCCCCTAGTAACCACCATTCTATCTTCTGTTTCTACAAGTTTGACTTTTAAAAATTCCACATATAAGTTATATCAGACAGTATTTGTCTTTCTCTCTCTGACTTACCGAAATGTCTTAATTCAAACTGGATTTAGATTTGGTCATACACCAGTACAAGCAAGACTCAGCTGCCTGGCCAAGGACAACTCTATCTATGTCGTGGCAAATATCGGGGACAAAAAGCCATGTCATTCCCGTGACTCCGCGTGTCCTCCTAATGGCCATTATCAATACAACACCAACGTGGTGTATGATGCAAATGGAAAGCTGGTGGCACGTTACCATAAGGTAAGAGGGGGTGGGTGTGTAATATGGAGCCTGCTATGAGGGGGTGGATGCTGTGTTTAAGAGTTAGAGCTTCATTCTCTTATAACACAATGTTACCAAGATTTTTTTAAAGCGAGCAATGAAGAAAATGACACTTTAGAAACGCGGAAAAAATTGTAGGCAGAGACCTCTAAGAAAGATTTGGTAATAGTCCAGGATTGAGGTAAAGCTTTTGCATATATAAAACAAGTAATTTTAATATTGGTATAAAAGATACTGAGATGACTGTAGTCTGGATACCATTTAACTTTGAAATGATAAAAGATGTTTCCACATTGTATGACTCAGTTACATGGAAGTTAATTTCCCTGCTTTCTATCAAGTCACAAAAATGATCTTTCTCTTTTAGTTTCTATACCAGTTAACTTAATTATCCTCTTGTTGATTTAAGGTCAAATCATAAGATTTTTACTTTAAAATCTGAATTGAAAGAGTAAAATAACCTGAAGTCATAATTTTGTACTAAATTGGACCGGGAGAGAGGCTGACCTTTTAAATGGTTATGGGATGTGCAGGTCAGTGTGAATGTCCCTTTTCCTCTCCCATATGTTTTCTAAGCATCTTAATTGTGCCTTCAAAATCTTCTGACTGGAGAAATTATCTCCTGGAACTCCTAGTGAAAAATAAAAATTACTCAAGAGGAGTGATATTGAGCCAATGACTTTCAAATGTTTTTGATCATATACCTCTATATGGAAAAAAATTTTAACGTGAGTCCTCAAAATAAAATATATTTATGTTTACTTGTGTGTTTATTTGTGTATTTATAAATAAAACACAAAACTTTCAAAAAGTTTTCTGCATAAACTTGTGGGTTTCCCAACTTGTTTTTATATGGAATTAAACTTCTGTGTTCTCAAAAATGTGTCTCAGACTGGAAATAGAAATGTCAGTACTTCCATTTTCCTTGTTTCAGAGACTGTGTTTGCATTGTGAGTATCATTTTTAAAGGCTCTTTCTTTGCAGCTACTCTTCCATTCTGTAAGTGTTGACCTAGTTAAACTGGTAGCATAGTTGGTCAATCCATTTATCCAGGCCCAGTAAACGGCAGGATGGCACAGTGCACTGGATGTGGACAGCTAATGAGGACCTGGGTCATCCTAAAGTGAGAAGCTCTCACTCTTCCATCAGGGTACCTTGGAACAGTGCGTGACCCACGCTCTCTGACATCACTCTTCCATCAGGGTACCTTGGAACAGTGCGTGACCCACGCTCTCTGACATATGGATCTGATAAGAGTACTTTTGTCAATCAATTCTTAAAATGCTAGTAAATTTCAATTAAAAATTTTTTTTAGGTAGAAAATAAATTTAGAGAGAAGTTTTAATAGTCTGGCTCCCAACCCTCAGTTTTTTCTACTTCGCAAATCATTTTATTAAGCTGTTGACCCTGATTATTAAGTTAGAGTAGGTTCATTTCTCAAGTTTACTTGGAAGGAATCAGAGAGAATGAAATAAAATATTTATTTTTAACAACAATTTTGAAAGCTGGGTAAGAGTCCCTGAAATTACTTTGGATGGGACACTGTAAAGAGGGAGAGGGCCTCCCTCATCTGATTAATAGATATTTATTGTGCATCTATTATGTTTCTAGGTATCAGGGACTCAAAGAAAAATGATGTATGTCTTCAGCTTTCAAGAAGCACATAGTGTTTAGGATTTATGGGGAGGTATTTGGCTCCTCATTGAGAGAGGGAGGAAGATAAGGAGAGAGAGGGAGGGAGAGAGGGAGAAAGAGAGGGACAGATAGAGAGAGAGAGAGGGAGAGAGGGAGTGAGAGAGACTATATTTCTTCGTATTTTTCTTTGGAAATTAACTTCCACTCACCAGAGTCATTCATCTTCTATAGATTTCCTGCTCTTGAGCATTGCCAAATCTCAAAATTACTAACTTGGAGAGTTTTCATGTGTCACCTTTTCAACAAAAAAGCCGTTCCTGGTTTCATCCTGTGTGTTTGTTATAGTACAACCTCTACTCTGAGCTTCAGTTTGATGTCCCCGAAAAGCCGGAGCTGGTGACTTTCAACACCTCCTTTGGGAAGTTTGGCATTTTCACGTGCTTTGATATCCTCTTCCATGATCCTGCTGTGACCCTGGTGAAAGATTTCCACGTGGACACTATATTGTTTCCCACAGCTTGGATGAATGTTTTGCCCTTTTTGACAGCTATTGAGTTTCATTCAGCTTGGGCAATGGGAATGAGAGTTAATCTTCTTGTGGCCAACACACATAATGTCCGCCTAAAAATGACAGGTAATTCATGACCACATGTGGTTTGCTGATTATATTTCTAAATGCAGAGAAATTTGTGCCTCAGATATGACCTGTTGTAATTTTTTGGTTCTTTGTTGAGACTTCTCACTATGTTTGTATCCTTTTATTAAAAAAAAAAAAAAAGGAAGAAGAAAACAAAAGCTACTGCTTGATTATAACATCTATGGCTGTGTTAAGACTTTTATATGTATTATTTCATCTATCCTCACAACAACTCTATGTATGCACTGAGTACTAGCATTCCAATTTTGCAGATTAGAAAACTGAGACACACAAAGATGCAAGTAACTTGCCAAAGGCCACGAGATAGTAGGGGGCAAAGCAGGGAACTAAACAAGATATGCTCTATAACTGGCAAGGCAGAGTAGTGTATTATTGACATGTTGCTGTATAACAAGTTGCTTTAAAAGTAAAAAGTGAAAGTGGCTTAAAAACAATAAACATTTATTATCTTACACTTTGTGTTGGTCAGGAATTTGGGAGTAGCTTAACTGGGTGGTCCTGGCTCAGGCCATCTCTTCAGGCTACATTAAACTGTTGGCTGGGCTAAAAGTCATCTGAAGCCTTGACTGGGGCTGGCAGGTCTGCTTCCAGGATGGCTCACTCATATGGCTATTGGTAGGGTTCCTCTCTTTCTCAGTGGGTGTTGAGAGGAGACCTTCATTTCTTGCACATGGGCCTCTCCATAGGGCTGTGTGATGTATCCTTATGACATAGCAGCTGGCTTCCTCCAGAACAAGTAATGGGAGAAAGAGGGAGAGAGAGAGAGGGAGATAAAGAGAGAGAGAGAGAGAGAGAGAGAAAGAGGAAAGCTGCATTGCCGTTAATGACTAGTCACAAACCATTATTTCTACCATGTTCTATTGATTAGGACTATGTCACTAAGGCAAGCCCACACTCAAAGTGAAGGGAATTAGATCCACCCATTGGAGAAAGGAGTGTTGAAGAATTTTGGAACATATTTGAAAACCACCACAATGGAGAACAGGAGGGAATTTTGCATTAACTTCCCTATCTCTCAGGAACGCCTGAGTACAATGATTTTAATATTTGGCTTAATTTTCTATAATGCTAGTAAATTATATTCAAAGTTTATTTGAAATGAGACCACTGATCATATAGTTTAATCTCCTCCAGTAGAGAATAGGAGAAGTATTATACTTAGGTGTTAGTGCCTTGTGCTTTCTCATTGTGACTGATATTGTGACATGATCACATGCTCAATTCTGATGGGGAAACTGGTGGTGTTGGGTTTGCTTTTTGTTTTTAAAAGACTTGTCTTCCATTCACAGGCAGTGGTATCTATGCACCACACTCTCCCAAAGCGTACCATTATGATATGGAAACAGAGTTGGGAAAGATCCTCTTTGCAGAGGTGGATTCGTATCCCCGAAACTCTCCAACCTACCCACCAGCTGTGAATTGGAGTGCCTACGCCACCACCATCAAACCATTCCCAGGACAGAAAAATTCCTTTAGGGGCTTTATTTCCCGGGATGAGTTCAACTTCACAGAACTCTTTGAAAATGCAGGAAACCTTACAGTCTGTCAAAAAGAGCTGTGCTGTCATTTAAGCTACAGAATGTTAGGAAAAGAGAATGAAGTGTATGTTCTAGGAGCTTTTGCTGGACTTCATGGCAGAAGGAGAAGAGAGTATTGGCAGGTAATCTCAGCTCAAGAGAAAGGGAATGTTTGGATGTCAGTAAATTCCAGGGTTAAGTTTTCATATTTGTCCCAGGGAACCAAATGCTTTTCCTTGGCATGACTGCATGCATTGCCAGTGTCTCACACACACACACACACACACACACACACACACACACACACACACAC